TTCACTGCATGTGGCAAAAAACACACGCAGATAGGTCTGTGTGGGAAGGACATGCTTCTTAAATGAGTTCCTCAGTGGACACGATTTTCGCCCATTTTAAATTAAAGACAACGTCAAATTTTCTGTGAACAATTTTTTTCAACGATGCATTTTCTTTCTCTCAAACACACACACACACTCACATACAGACGTGCACGCACGCACACACAACACCCACACACTCTCCCTTTCCCACTCTTACAACCACAATATCTCTCACTCTCACACATCCCCACTCTCTCTCTCCTCTGAGGGAGAACGGTGCTGCAGTAAATTTTAACTCTAATGTTGCAATACTGATTACCTTGTACTGAAAATACGTTATTGCAAATCCATAGAGGTCATTATTTCGGGTGGGCGAGGGGAAAAGTGTGTGTGTGTATGTGTGTGTGTGTGTGTGTGTGTGTGAGTGTGTGTGTGTGAGTGTGTGTGTGTGTGTGTGTGTGTGTGTGGGGGGGGGGGGTTATGATGAGTGAAGTTGCCCACTGCATGTGGCAGGACACACACACATACACGCAAGTCTGAGTGGAATGGACACCATCTTGTCTTCTTCTTATGGCTATGGTCTTCTTAGTAGAGAGGACACAATTTCGCCCATTTTGATTTAGACAGTATCACATTTTCTGAGGAAAAATCTTTTTCAATACACTTTCTACCTCTCAAACATACACAAACACACTCTCTCTCTCTCTTACAACAACATCAATATATATCTCTCACTCTCACGCATCCCCACTCTCTCTCCCCTCTGAGGGAGAACAGTGCTGTAGTAAATTTCAACTCTAATGTTGCAATGCTGATTACTCTGTACTGTAAATACGTTGTTGCCAATCCATACAGGTCATTATTTTGGGAGTGCGAGGGGGAAAAAGTGTGCGTGTGTGTGTGTGTGCGCGCGTGTGTATGTGTGTGTGTGTGAGTGTTGGTGGGGGTTATGAGTGAAGTTGCCCACAGCATGTGGCAGGACAAACACACACACACACACACACACACACACACACACACACACACACACAGGTCTGGTCTGAATGGAAAGGACACTATCTAGTCTTCTTCTTATGGTCTTCTTAGAGAGGACACGATTTCGCTCATTCTCATTACGACAATGTCACATTTTCTGTGGAGTCTTTTTCAATGCACTCTCAATTTCTCAAACACACACTCTCTCTCTCTCTCTCTTACAACCACAATATCTCTCTCAATCTCACGCATCCCCACTCTCTCCCTTTCTCTCTCTCTGAGGGAGAACAGTACTGCAGTAATTTTCAAACAAACAGTAAAACCCTACATTTACTTTTAACACAAGCTTCTCGGGACCAGAAAATTTCTTCATGTTAAGCTGGTTTCATGTTAAGGGAAGCTGCAAATCATAGAGGGGGGAACCCCTAGGGATTAGAAAGCCTTGCATGGTAACAGAAACAGGAATTTCACATAAAACAGCTTTGAGTTGAACAAAGACTACTCCATCACTTGCGAGGTTTCCTGGTGAATTCAGGTGCTCGTCAAAACAATGAAATATAAAAAACCCCGTCATTTTTCATGCTGTTCGTACTTTTTTTTCTTTTTTCTTTTTTTTGGCTCAACACCTTTCTTGTCCATTAAAATTAAAAAACCCGTTCCAGCATGGATTTGACTGAAAAACCGTTGATCAAAAGCACAGTTTTCACGGACACTCATACTTTGGAAGTCATCTAACTTTGGCAGCCATTTTGTCCCTTATTTTACCTGCCACCAGGCGACCCCCACCTCCTTCAATCATTAATATCTTAACTTCTGTTCAAGATAGATAGGTATTTTTTCATCAAAAGCAAGACAAATGATATCAATAACTCTGTATGCCCAAGAATTCTGATTCCACCAAAACGTGACACAGTTTACAATATTCTAGAACAAATTTTAAACAGGTAATTAAAAATGAAAGGTATGCCCACCCATTCCTGAGCAGCATGTTGAGGCAGTAAGAGTCAGAAAAACAACCCCAAAAAAGATGTGATTTTCTTTACATTTATTTACATTGAACATGCTATAATTCTCTTTATCAACATCTTCGATCACATCACATACATTCCCAGTAAACAAAGCCATCAAAACAAAAACAAGAAAAACATGCAGTCTACAAAAGTCATTGAACTCATTTCACTCCAGTAGTTCGTCACACTGACTGACAATTTGTGCAAAGAGTGGTAGGGCTTCACTCTCCGACTCACAAATTCATCAATCATACTTTTCAAAAAACACTATCACAGTATCCTAAAATAAAATTTAAAACATACTGATGGTTTAAAAAACATACTTTTCTGACCAAAGTTGCATCAAGCTCACTCTCCACACTTTCATGACACTCACCATATTTAAATCACACAATCTTCAATTGGGAAAACAACATCCAACTAATCTTACAAAAATACGGTCACCATATCTGACTTTGCAGCACCAAGTTCCCCACTCATACTCTCTACACATTCACTGTGAAACACATTCAACGTCAGTCACACCACAGCATCACTAAAACACACCATAAAGAAAAGCATAGAACAAAACTATACTGCTGCATCACTCTTCAGATTCAATAATTTGGTCACGGCTGCCTTGTAGTTGTTTAGAGTTTCGATGTTTTCCCCTTCGTTGAAGAGCTCCTCCACGGCCACCTTGTACTGCTGTACCTCCTCCAGCTGGCAGATGGCGTCCTCGTTCGCCACGTCCGAGGGGAGATAACCCAAACCTTTGTCAGCCTCAGGAGACTTCTGCAGAAGTGGGAAAAAAGTTACCTTAACATGACACCATGAAGCAAAAATGGTCACTTTTAAGGACAAGCGGGCTAACCCAGGTTTCGGGGGTTTCCAGAAATCTTTACCTACATCAAAAGTGGGTATTGTCCTACCTATAGGAGAAAGTTTGGTTTCATTGGTGTGTATATTTATTTGGTTTTAGAGAAAACTCTCCTTGTCTTTTACAGAATAAGGATTCAAAAACTTTTACTTAAATTTTCTCAAAACAGCATTTTAGGGGATAACCCCCTTGTGCTTAAAAGCGACCAAATATAATAACTGTAAGGAGGGGTGCAATTTGACCTGAAGAGACGTATTTTAACTCAAGAAAGGTTATTTAGTGTTGGAAAGAGTGAGACAATGAGAAATATCCAAGACAGAGAGGGAGAGATGGTTTAAAAGTAGAGCATACCACCAGAAGTTTCCGCCCACCTGCTCAGTGGGACGTATTATTTGTTGAGAAGTTACTTTAGTAGTATTAGTAAGTGTTTTATGGCACTCGCAACTGCATAAGGTCATAAGAGCGCCAGAAGATTTGAAGTGTTACAAGAGAGTAACAAACACAAAAAAGAAGGAGGGGATATAGAGACCATAGATTTTTTTATAGGAAAGAAGGAGCAAACCACACCAGAGCACCCGCCAACCACCCACTTTGTTGAGAAGGAGTTGACACAGAGTAAGCATAACTACAACTTTTCCCAGGGTGCAACAAACTCTGACACAACAGTGACACAAAAAAAAGCACATGAAGTGGACGTTACTGCAGTGCCAATCAAACATCCACTGTTCTGAAGGATAAAAAAAAACCGTTGCTTTTGATTACAGGACTTCTTTACAGACACCTGTTCAATTTCAAGAAATTCATGTCATTACTTCCCCTGATCCTTTTAAACACCGCAGTGATCACTTCCCCTGGATTAAAAAAACACATTTACACTCTTGGAAGCAAGCTACTCAACTGGCTAACACATAGATCATTACAGGCGCACTAAATATAAAATTTAAAGATGATCTTTTGGAAGATCTAGGTGGACAATGTCATGGAAAAGCTGGAGAACAAAGGGAGGGAGGGAGATAGGCATACTTGCCGATTATCTTAAACTCTTCTACAACCTTCTACAATCTAATTTCTTGTTTTATTTGTTTTAGTTAGTGTTTTACAGCACTTGCAACACAATAACGTCATATAAGTGCCAAAGATTAGAGGTGTTACAAGAGAGTAACAAACACAAAAAAGAAGGAGGTGAGATAAAGACGATAGATGTTTCATAGGAAAGAAGAAGCAAACCACATCAGTGCACCCGCCAACCACCCACTCGTTTTTTGCTTCAGTAAGTTTTGCAACACTTGCAACACAATACTGTCATATGAGTGGTGAAGACAAGAGGTGGTACAACAGAGTGAAAAAAAAACCCAAAAAGAAGAGATAGGAAAAATAGATGTTTGATAGAAAAGAAGGAGCAAACCACAGAAAAGAACCTGCCAACCACCCACTTCCACATGTTCGAATAAATGAAGTCCGAGTACAAAGCTAGTACACCCACGATTGCCACACTATTATGCCAGGAACATTCTAGGACCACAGGAACACAAAAAAGAACAAGCAGCAGACCACATGCAAACACCTCACAAATCGAGGGATATGAGAAAGAGCATCATATGCAGTAAAGCCTATCATGCAGACATGATGGTTAACTTAGACAACATCGCAATGTGCAGCTGTGCACATGACCCTGGTATAAATCCCTTCCCTAGTTGTCTTCCAGTAGATATATTTCAAGGACTTTTTACTTTCCTTCTATGGAGATATTTCTATTAAAATTGGGAGGTCCTGCTTATTAACAACCTCTTCCATTAAAGAAATGATGTTAATTTTATATCAGCTTGTAACAAAAAGAGAGATTATATAAGCTTCATAATTCATAACCACAAATGGCCATGGTGAAGAGACAAAGTCCTTCTCTTGAAATTACCTCATCTGCTTCCTTGATAGTCCTCAGAAGACTAACCATATTTTTCCTGGAGGCATTTATGTCCCAAAAGTAACTCTCCATGTCAGACAACTCTTTCTGGTCCTCCCAGCCTTCACGTTTCTGCCGATAAAATGGTAAAAAGTTATAAGACTTGTTCCTTGCCAAGTAAGGAAAAAGCTGTCAACCACAAATTAAAAAAGCACATATTTGTTCTTTAATATGTCCATCAGTCAACAATAAGATTTCTAAATCTAGAATAGCAAATAACATTACATTCTTAGCACTAAATGCTTGAAACTGATTCTCACAAACTTTACATATTATTGGATTTTCAATATGGAAATTGAGCTTATGTTTCAAACTAAAATTTTTAATTGACAAGGGTTTATCCAAGAACAAGTTTTTTTAAACATTAGCCAAAAAGTGGACAGTGGACAGCTGTTTAAGAAAAGCATAAAATTCATCGCAATTTGTTAATGTTACATTTGTATATACAGTACAGAAAAAAATGTTTAAAATACCAAAATCCATGACAGTAAATGACCTAACCCTTAGAAGTCACATCTAAAAGCAACCACACAGACACAAAAGTGTCAACTTGGTTTTAAAAAATAAACCAGTGAGTGCTCTGAGTCAATCCTCGAAATAAATACGACTGTCAACTTACAACACACTTACCCATGATTCAAAATAAACAGCTGTTAACAAGAAGTTGACGTATTCCAGATTCTGAGACTTCAGTGGACATCTGCAATAATAACAGAAATAACAATGAAACAAGAATGGCCTTATCAGAACACACATTTGACCAGAAAAAAAAAGGAGTAGAAACAGTATTAAGGCAAGCACTAACAGATTTTTACAATTTTTGCAGTTCATGACAACAGTATCTTGAAACATGACTACAGTACCATTGATTTGAAGGGTCATATAAAAAACATGTTCGAACAATTTTTTAATTTTCGCAAAAAATGTGGTCACCATGGCGGCCATCATGAATTTTTTTATAATTTCAGATTTTCTAATTTCTAAAAAAACTATTTAAGATACAGCCCTCAAATTTTTAGGGTACATACTTAACAAACTTTGATGTGTCATAATGAAAAGAAAACATTATATTTAAGACTATTTTACGCATAGTTTGAGAAAAAAAAAATATAAATATCTTGAAAAATAACTTGGCAATTTGAGAAAATCTTAAGAGACCCATGCTGAAAATGCCAAAGGGAGAAAAGCATTGAAATGACTGCGTCATCTGCTCTTACGGAAATCCCTGAATCTATTTGGCAGGATTTGGTGACCTATTTCAACGGTTTTCAGTGTTTTTGAATGAATGCGTACAGTGCTGGGAGTTATTTTACCAGATTGAGCACTAAATGCCGTTTTCAGTGGTGTACAGCATGCCAACCTTCTATTCAAAGTAACAATATATATATATACAGACCTGCCACTCTATGAAATCTAAAAATCAGGATTTTAGAGTAAAAAAATCAGGATCTGGTGAAAAAAATCGGGATCAACGGCAAATCAGTGATAAGGGGCACTGGGGAGGGGGGGGGGGGGGTCATGGTTCCCCTTCATGGGGCAAGTATGCAAGACAAAACTTTTGAAGGAATAATTTCACGTTTGGGCCTCTAAATAGAGAGAAAATTGAAAGACAGCATAATATGTACTCGAGTCGGAGTTGGATAAACTGGGGGAGCGCAGGTTGCAGTAATGCTGAAACTTTCGTAGTCTTGAAAACAGATGGCACATAACTCTAATCATCCATGCAAAAAGCCCGCGTTGTCATACAGTAACAACGTTTGACTTCCATCGCATATTCACTCAAGGCACCTCCCCCACCCCCGCCCCGAAAAAAAATCTCGCCAAGGTTGTTCATTTATTTATTTTTTGTTATTCCTTTCCCCTCAATTAGCACCTGTATCACGGCACACACTTTAAGCCCAAGTGAAAAAAAAATACCCCCCCCCCCCCCGGTTAAGTCCCCCAAACACCTCGACCAATGCGACCGGTGTGAATGAACTTTGTTGACCTCGACAGCCAACGGTCCTCGACACACGCACTACTCACACGTACGAGGTCAGGTCACGTGATGCGAATGAGCGTTTGAAAGTTTCACTGACATGTTTTGATGATGGGCCCGAATAACCAGCACCCAGACAAAGCTTGCTTTTATTACTTTTAAAGCAACGGCTGAACAATGAATAGCTTATTTTTAGGCCCATGTCATAATTGTTACAGTAATCAAGACACCATCGGAGAATTCTGGGTTATAAAAGCGAAAGTAGATCTTGAGCGTATCCAAGTCGGAATTCAAAATTGATACTACGTCGATTTTAGTTGAAATACTGTGGGTGAGTCTACTAGATTCGGCATAGATGCTTTAGAAAATAGCGTTCCAAGTTCCTGCCGATAAAAAATCCAATCGGTGCTTCCAAGCAAAAGAGATTGCAAAACTTTTTATATTTTTTTCTAAGAATCAGATGCAACAGACGCAACGAAAAAAATCAGGATACTGGCGATCGAAATCGGGAAAATCTGGATGCTTGAGATTGGGGGCAAAAAATCGGGATGAGTGGCAGGTCTGTATATATATATATATATATATATTTATATATATTGGTTGCTACAATGTTTTATAACCCAAAACTAACAACGTAGCCCTTTTTGGGATCCTAAAATATCACCCATAGGCTAAAAAAACAGAAAATGTGTATATTTATGGCGTTTTCTAAGCTTTGGAAACATGTGGAACATGTAGTATGATGGTCTAACATTATTTCTAGCCCAAAATCTGGAAATCGATTTTTTTCAAGCCAAAAACACCCCCAAAAGTGTATTAGTGCTTGCCTTAATAAACAGGATTATACGCAACACAAAATACCACTGTGAGACACCTTCATTCAAAGAAATTAATTACTGCCATTAACATAAACTAACATGGCAAAACCGAATTTGAATTCCATTTCAAGTGAGTCTGCACCTTACCCTTTTGAAAAGATCATAAAATGAATTTTACTGATTTTATTCTGGCCATGAGACAACTACAGTTGAACCTGTACAAGATTACCACCCAATGTTGAGGAGAAAAGTGGTCATCTTACAGTTGGTCCTCTGGGACCGTGTCATTATATTATAATACGTGAGGTATCGTGGTGAAATCAGGCACTCGTCAAAATAATTCAATCGAAAATATCGGCATTTTCCCTCCTGTTTGACAATCTTTTTCTAATTTGTGTTCTTTGACTCAACACCTTTTATACCAAACTTTGGTGGCCATTTTCTCTTTAATTTTACATTTGAAACTAGGCGATCCCAACCTCCTTCAATCGCAAATATCTCGACTTCTATTCGAGATAGACGTGTACTTTTTCATCAAAAGATGGTCAAATGAACAACCTTTAAGATGATACCAGTAACTCCATATGCCCAAAAATTGATGAGTGCCTGATTCCACCGTGTCAGGACACATAAATAAAAAAATGCATTGGGGGGTATAGTGATAGGTGGTAATTTGCTTGTGTTGTTGTTAGAGCAGGTTCAACTGTACGAATTGCAATTGAAAGAATTTTCTCTTTCATTACCACCACTGGTTCTTTTTACTATTATTCTGGTCTAAGTCCTCACCCCAGAATTATTTTTAAAAACCCATCTTTATTTATGAGATCCTAAGTAAGAAATGTTATTTTCTAAAAAGAAAAAAAAAGTTGAATCACAGACTTTAATATTTACCTGTCACTTTCAAAGATCACTTCATCTGTGTCAGGATTATATCGATCACCCACTAATCGGATAAACTTATCCCTCGAATGGTAATCCAGCTCCAAATCAGAGAGGTTTAACTGAAAGTTAAAAGAGAAAAAGCAAAAAACAACTGATTACCAGAGCAAGCCACAAAGAAAGTAATTCAGAAACCATTTATAGATTTTTTTACATCTAAAACATTTTGTTTTATGTTTTAGTAAGTGTTTTACGGCACTCGCAACACAATAAGGTCATATAAGTGCTGAAGATTAGAGGTGTTACAAGAGAGTAACGAACACAAAAAAGAAGGAGGGAGATAAAGACGATAGATGTTTGATAGGGAAGAAGAAGCAAACCACACCAGAGCATCCACTAACAACCCACTAAAACATTTTCAGGAAGAAGAACTAACATAAAATGGTCACTAGCAAAAGACTTAATTGTGATACCATACACACAAGAGATTTAACGAAGCAATAAAAAATCTTCCTAGTATCATCATCTTCCCATAAGAGCAAAGCTACAAATACTGTTAGACTTTTTAAGAATAAATTATACATTTTTTATCGTATATACTCCTCTCTAACATAACTTTACATATAATACGCGCGCGGGGATGTGGGGCTGTGTGTTATACATTGACTCCAAAATTGGTTCAATTTTGTAGGTCATGTATATAAAACGGGGTGCCTATCTGACATGTTGGACAGGGCTCAACAGGTATAAATCAAGAACTAGTCAAGCGTAAAATATAGTGTCTTACCTTTCACTATATGAACTGTTGGTTGTTACATTGCGATTGATTTAAATAGTGAGACTAGAATGGCAGGTAATTAAAACAAGATGCCAAGATGTGTTGGAGGTTTATTTGTTCAAAGGAAAATCTGATTTTTGCATTACTTCCTCCTTGTTCTGCTCAATTCTGGTTGCATGTTGTATGTTTTATATGGGGTGAGGTTTTAACTTTTTTTACCTCATTCTTTTAAAAAATTGCTTGTATTATATGCGAATATATACGCCATTTTATCTTGCTTTTCCCAATTACAAAAATCAGAAAAGAGAACAACCCCCCCCCCATCCAGTCAAGCATCAAGTTTACTCATAACAAACTTGTACTCTAGCATCAGTTATCTATTTGTGACTATTAGTATTGCACAGACCTATACCCATAAAAGTATGCAAAGGACATCAACACAGATTCAGAGAAAAAGATGAATAATAAAAGAGTCCACATTATAGTTCAAGTGCCGAGTATTACTTGAAATATTAATAAACGAAAAGACGGTAGGTAAACCTTTATTGAAGCGACTCGAGCTCTGTCATCTCTAAGGGACGGGGCAGCAAACACATAGTCACTGGTGACCGACTCAACAGGAAAATGATGACGACAGTCTTCCTCTGTCTCCAACCCCTCAGGCCAGGCAGTGCAGAATTCTGAAAATTTAAAACATAAAATAAAAATCTTATTTGAATATTAAAAATTCAACTTACCCTTTTTTTTCCATTTCATTGACAAAAAGAATCCATTAACCCTTGCGTACTGGAAAGTGAATAAACATACAATAGAAAATGTAAATATCTGAGCATCAAAGAGATGAGAAAAAGCTCTCTTACAAATGAATAGATTACAGCATTAAAAGACCTCTTGAGAAAAACGTTTCATTTATGTATCGAAAAAATTTAGTAACATGATCCTATTTAATCAGTAATGACATTTTCGGTAGATTATGCTTCTCCATAGCGGTAAATTTGGGGACTCAGGACCTTCCACTTATTTATATGATTGGTTCCATAGACCTGCACTAGTCTTTCAAATATCTCTATCTATTGATTAGTCTGTTAAAAACATAAGGCCTTGACAGATAAATGCTTATTTTCAAAATTGATGAGAATAGAAAGGATTTCAACAACTACAAATCCATGCTTTTCTCGCTCGCACTCACTTTTTAAAGCATCACAGTGTTTTTTCACATGAGCAGGTGTCAAGTGAAGGAAGTTGGGAGGCTTCATCAGTTCCAAGTTAGCATATTTTGCAGGAACTACACCTTCATTTTCTGAGGAATTCTGGAAAAATAGGAGCAATAATCCATTGTTATTAATCATTATGCAAATTACAAAATACACTTTCATTTTTTGAGGAATTCTAGAAAAACGGGAGCAAATATTCTATTGTTATATGGATCATAAAGCAAATTACTGATCACCCATTTACAATAAAGAAGAGCAACTCCCCCCCCCCCCCCCTCCCCCCACCAAACGTAACCAGTGAAGTTATTATTTATGAGGGGAAAAAAAAGCGGCAATTAATGTGCTCAATGAAAAGATAAAATCTATAGCAGATCTATGATTTCATTAGACAGTAAGTTGATAATTTTTGTGATCTGTTTCCCTAACCTAATACATAAACATGAAAGCATTAGTTATTATAGTTATACCAAGATAGCCAACAATCTGATCTTGAAATGGCATGTCGTATCATTAGAATATTTTAAAATTTCAAAACATCTAGAACTAAACAAGAAGCCTCTTTACCTCAACAAAGCCTTGACGAACTGGGAAAGGAACAGCAGACCATTTAAATGTTGACGCTGTGGGCCAGACGTCTGTCCAGTCCTGATCCGTTGCCATACTTCGGAACCGTGGTGGGGGTGGTTTCTTTTTTTGTCGTCTTGCAAACCTTTCTGTTTTCACAGGCTTCAGACCTTCGATCTCAAACACTCTGAACTCTCCTTCTGTTTTGATGAAAAAGGTAGCAAACAATTGATTAACCCATCATTAACAGTCTATCAAATTCATCTAAAATTTCCAGACATATTTCCATACGTTGATGTTTTGTAAGTAGGTTTTAAATATCTTTAAAAGCAATTGATTTACGATAGTTTTAGAGGCCATATCATCATAATACAGTCGAACCTATGTAAGACAGAATCACAAGGGAGCCAGAAAAAAATTCCGTCTTAGACACTTTCACTTTCAGTATACAGGAGGGGAATTTAAGGGAGAGAAGGAGGGGGGTTTCAAAGGCCCAGCGAGTGGGATCAAGGGTCACTTGTCAGGTCAGCATGCAGTGGTCAAAACTTCAAACCTCTACTGCTATTCTCACTGATAATGACATCTGTCAGTCTTAATCCAATTACCACCAGTGCTTGCATTCCATAGTTTCCTCCTCCGTTTGACCTATTAAAATTATAAAAACAGAAACGTTTGAACATCTTTGCTTCCACCCCATAGCCCCATCCATCGGTAACAAGCACAGCCAACCAATGCCATCCCTCATTGCCATGTAACAAAGATTCGAGGAACTCTTTTCTCAGCTGGCCATACAAACAGGGCGGCAGGCAATGAATTGGTCAAACTAATTTCACACCTCTGGCTTCTGGCTACCCAGGAAAGTTACTCAAGGACTTTCACAGGTACTCGTGAAATTTCACACCCACACCACCCTGATCATCTACATCGCTCAGCCCCCCCCCCCCAAATTGCACCCCCTACCCCTCTTCCTCGCTTGGTGGCATTCAAGGTGTAGTTTTGAGCTGGCGGAACCAAATTAGAGACTTTTATTTCAAATCAGGGCTGAGTGGCAAAGCATTTTTTGTCTTAGACAGGTAAAATCCTCTGACGGATTTTTCATTCCATTTCGGCTTTAGACAGGATTCTAGGTAATTAAAGAGGAACAAGGGGGGAGCAGGGAGATTCCGTTAAGACAGATTCGACTGTATGTGTTCTGCAACTAAAAATATGAAAGTTTGGCCTCCAAAAGTAAAAGCAGTCTACAGTCCCTCCGTGAGTTCTGTGGCACTGAAAGTGAAAACAAATTACATGAAGCTGCAGTGAGCACCTAGCACACCTCTGTGATTGGCCCAATTATTTATAGATGACATATTTCTGCCATCTATTTTTGTCGTCTTCCGGGGCTTCCCTCGCCAGTTGACTAGATCTCACCGTGGTGGGCCCGCTTTGCCCGCTTTGCCGCTTAGCGTGCGAAGGGCTATGTCACTAGGTCTCATCGCCGACTGCTTGGGCTGTGTGTGTGTGCGTGCTTGTGTGTATGTGTGTGCGCGCTTGGGTGTGTTTGTGTGTGTGTGTGTGTGTGTGTGTGTGTGTGTGTGCGTGTGTTTGTGTGTGTACAACTTTGATGAGAAGGTAAATTTATGGAATGAGAATAGCTGAGATTGTTTATAAAAGATAAACACAAATTAATAAATGTGTGTGCGCCTAGAGAAAGGTACCAAAAGTCGCCCCAGACCCTTTTGAGCTACAGGCTGATAATGACAAAAATCACTTTTTTGACCAAAATGTGTTTCCATTTTTAAAAAAAAAAGATCCAACACTTTTTTTACAATGTCCTCAAAGGGTTTTCATTGACTTGACTTCCAAATGTTTTATTTTGAATTATTTTACGGGAAGGGCATTATAAAAACAAATAATTAAAACTGCTTTTAAAAGGGGTTAAAATCAATTCTTGAAGAAAGTTTTCTCTTCCCGGCTATGTTTTACAATTAAGTTCCATTCATGATATCGATGTCAACTGAATGCCAAATTGGAGAAGAATTTTCCATGAATAAATACACATTTAAAAAAACAGGTTTTTTTTAGTTTGTGAGAGTTCTCCCATTTGTTTAACTTATAAGCTCATTTTCTCAAAATTATATTTTTATTCCTTATCTTGCAAAATGTGCAATATCTCAAAAACTACTTGAGATATTTTTAAAATTCAAAACCCCTGTGTTCAGCATAGAATTTCCTACAACGTACAACCCTTAACTCAAAATGGTCAAAATCCGACTTTTGGTACTTCTTTGGGCACACACACAAATTTTATTAAAAAAACAAACACGGCAAGATCTAGTCAACAGCAACGGGCCAGGGAAACCTAAGAGTCTCGGCTGACCTAATAAAAATACATTGGGGGGGGTTCAGAGAATTTTCCCATAATTTGATGTTTTGCAGATAGGTTTGATATCTCTCGCTCGCCACATATCAAATATAGCCCGTAATAGATCTAGATCTAGGCCCAAATAAGCGGGGTGAGAACTACAGAAAAAGCGCCAACAAATTTACCCAAAAGTCAACCAAAGTTGTGAGTCCACCCACTTAACAGACTGACATAGCCTGCTTTTTTCAGGCACTGCTGAGACTGGATGCAGGCTGCACAAAAACCATAACTATCTGCCTATCATTATCATTGATTATTGATCTCTATCACTTAGCACTTCTTAGCTAAACAACTTAGCACTCTATCATACTCTATGATTCATTATCAAGTTCAAGTTGTATTGCAAAAATTAAATTGCTTGACGAAGACCTTGAGGAGGTACCAGCAGTGATGAATAAAAGCATACAGACAGGTGCGATTCCTGATGAATGGCTACACAGCTACCTTGCTCCAATACCTAAACCAGGCAAAGATCACAGGGCACCGAACGGTTACAGAGTTATTACTATGCGTGTTTGGTAAGGTCCTGGAGAAAGTGATAGCAAGAACATTATCAAGAGAACTGGAGAGAAACAATCTCCTCCCAAATGGATTGGGCAGCTTTAGTCCTGGAAGGGACACAACCACCAATGCATCTGTAAAGGCATATATATATACATCTATGAGGGCTTTCAAGCACAAGAGGAAACAGTCATAGCTGCAATCGACCTGGAGGACGCCTACAATGGGGTGGATTATGAGAAGCTAATCCACAAGATGATAGACCTGGATCTTGACCCTTTTCTGGTTCGACAGGTTGCTGGTGCAATGCTAACAAGAAAGGTAGCATTGAGATGTGGAACATGGATGTCAGATCCCCAGGAGATAGCACCAGGTCTACCTCACGGATCACCTTTGTCCCCCATATTGTTCAACATTTACACAGCGGATCTGGAAAGGGATGATAGTTGCCAGACTGGAAGGACTCTAACCATTGCAGATGATGTCTATGAGCACGGGCCTGATAGATCAGAAACTACAACAGCGCCTGAGAGCAATTGAAGAGTGGTGCAAGGAGAATGAGGCTGTTATAAATTCAAGTGATGTGGTGCTCTCTCAATAACAGAATAGTGAAGAGGCTGCACATGATTTGACAAGAGTAATCATTGGTGTAAAGAAAGGAGACATAGCCTACTGGAGGTAGCAGGAACAGCAGAGTAGGAAGAAAGACAGAGGTAAGATTGAAGAATACCAGACCAGCGGTCTGACTTTGCCTATGTCTCAACCTTAGGAATTCATGATTTTCCCCAGTTTTTAATATCTCTCAATGGCGAATCTCGGACCGGAAGATCTACGAAGTGGCTTAAGTACTTAGATCTAGGTTTGGCCTATCGACTCAAGCCTGTTAAGTACACAGGTCTCATTAGATCTATCAATTATTCAGGTTCAAAGACATGCAAGCCAGTAAGGCACCTTTGGTTTTGTCTGAAATACAAATCATTTAGGCATAGCAAACAAAAAATTTCATTTACAATTCAGCCATCAATATTAAGTACGGCTAGTCTAGCCGTACTTATCTTAGGCCCAATTAACATTTAGAAAACAGGAGGTTTAAAATAGAAAGTGGCTATTCTCACCCGCCCGGAAGTTCTCGCAAGATCTACTCCTCCCCTCTTCTCTCTCTCTCTGTCTCTTTCTGAATACTGTCTATCGGTGTGGACGATCAAATTGACCAAAGCAAAGTTAAAAAATGATGTTAAAACACAAAAGTAAATTAATTTGGTTGTCTACAAAGATGCTACGGCTATTTAACTTTTCGAATCGAGCCGAACTACGCGGGTCGCCATTTTGTTTTGTTCTCTCTCTTTCTCTCTCTCACTCTCTCTCTCTCCACTGCCCACAGACAAAATTGTACGCTTTTAGTAGGCTTCAAGTACAGTTGTAATGGAACGTTTGTTCACAGCACAGGATTCTACATTTTTTCTGTTATCAGAGTGTAGAATTCTGTGGTTTAGGGTGAACGCAAAATTTGTTGACACGCGCACCGGGTGAGAATAGCCAAAAGACCCGCCTGCACTATTCTCACCCCGGGTGAGAATAGAGGTGGCCTTAAAATACATGCACTGTCATTAAGGCACCTGGTTTCGTCTCAAATACAAATACTTTAGGTACTGCACACTAAAAATTTATATTTAAAATTCAGTAGGCCTATTTTTAAAAAATGGTCAGTCTAGCCATCATATTAAGTACGGCTAGACTACAAGTCTAGCTGTACTTAAGTACGGCTAGCCTCTTTCGAAGATCTATTCATTACAATTTTTTCAGTTCCGGTAAGACAGATTGTCGAGGAAAACTCCAACACGTCCAAGGCCCCTGGATCCACCAGTAGTTAAGTAATAGATCTCCTCTGTAATTGACTGATCATTGGTGAAATGTGAGGTGAATCAAGTAGAAGGCTAGATCTAGATATAGATCTAGAACTAATCAAATTGCAAGAGTAAGAGAACGTTGACTAAGTCCAGACAGCAGAGTGATAGAGGAAGAAGACTATACTCTGAGCTGTGCTCTAAAGACTAAAGGCCCAAACTAGCCAAACTGCACTGTGTGCCGTCAGCTAGCTTGACAAAGAAAGGCCTCTTACGAAAGCGGGGAGGACTTCCGTAACGAGCGACCACTATGAGACACAGGGGTAGGGTTAGGGGTAGGAAAGTGGCTATTCTCACCCGCCCGGAAGTTCTCGCAAGATCAACTCCTCCCCTCTTCTCTCTCTCTCTGTCTCTTTCTGAATACTGTCTATCGGTGCGGACGATCAAATTGACCAAAACAAAGTTAAAAAATGATGTTAAAACACAAAAGTAAATTAATTTGGTTGTCTACAAAGATGCTACGGCTATTTAACTTTTCGAATCGAGCCGAACTACGCGGGTCGCCATTTTGTTTTGGCCGGAAATTCTCGCGCTACTCCTCTCTCTCTTTCTCTCTCTCTCTCCACTGCCCACAGACAAAATTGTACGCTTTTAGTAGGCTACAGATGTAATGGAACGTTTGTTCACGCACAGAATTCTACAATTTTTCTGTTATCACAGTGTAGAATTCTGTGGTTTAGGTTGAACGCAAAATTTGGTGAACGCGCACCGGGTGAGAATAGCCACAAGACTCGCCTGCACTATTCTCACTCCGGGTGAGAATAGAGGTGGCCTAGGGGTAGGGTAAGGGGTAGGGTTAGGGTTAGGGGTAGGGGTAGGGGTAGGGTTAGGGTTTGGGGTAGGCTTAGGGTTAGGGTTAGGCCTCTTCTTTATTGTGTTTGATGGGGTGGTCGCTCGTTACGGAAGTCCTTCCCGAAAGGGAAAGCAAAACCACTCTCACTCACTCACTCGCCGGCCCAAAGTCCAAGCCAAAGTCAAATTGAATTTGATCAACTTTGCGGCAGCAGCGATACTGTTCCAGCCAGTATGGCATATAAAGAAATTACCTTGTTGTTCTGAATGTTCATTTTGCTGATTCAGTCTTGTGGAATGAAATAATCGAGCAAAAGCCGCCGTTCGCCCATTGATGAGATGCTTGTGAATGTCCGTCAAGCGTTTTCTGCTGAGCGCCGCCATCTTGCTTTTCTCGGCAAGTGCTATTAATAGATCCATGTTGATTTTTTCGCAACTTCCGTTAACAACAAAAAAACCTATTTCCTCATCAGGCTTGCCGCATTGACTACAGAATATACAACTTAACAATTTCACAGTAGGACTAAAAGTAAAAGTTTAATTATTTTAAAATATTTGAAAAGAGCAACAAAGTACTAGATCTATTTCTCCACTTTTTCTATTTAATACAATTATCAGTCAGGGTGTGATCTGTCTCATTCGCCCAGCTATCGTCTACTTTGTTCCCTAAAACAAAGTTGGCTTCTTTCCTTATTCATCATTTCTCCCGGACCAGTTGATATACCTGGCATGTATTTGTGGGTTGGGTTTGTGCAATAGTAATAGTCACAAGAAAAGGAAGGATACACCACATCTATTTCTGATTTCGTGATTCAGAATAGAACGTGACCTGATTGTTTGATTTTCGTCTCAGTTAAAGATCGTTAGTCTGCTTGGACACAGTTTCTACATCTCACTCCATCACCATGTCCAGTATGGATAGTATCCTTTGAAAATGTGTTGTGTGCGAGGTTGAAATTGAAAGCCTCGTCTGCATTGTTTGTTTTTATATTTTATAAGGCATAAAATGTGTCTATATTTTTTAGATCTAGCTAGATCTAGATCTAGATCTAGATCTAGTCTCGGCAAACCCCGCCTTAGTCTTTAACTTTATTTATTCTATATTGGCTGGATTGTACTTTGGCCACCTCTATTAATAGTGCAGGCGAGTCTTTTGGCTATTCTCTCCCGGTGCGCGTTCACCGTTATAGCCTAGATCTAGCCCAACCAAATTTGCGTGGTATGTTCACCCTAAACCACAGTATTCTACACTGTGATTACAGAAAAATTGTAGAATTCTGTGCCGTGAACAAACGTTCCATTACTACTGTTAGCATACTAAAAGCGTACAATTTTGTCTGTGGGCAGTGGAGAGAGAGAGAAAGAGAGAGAGAGAGGAGTAGCGCGAGAACTTCCGGGCAAAACAAAATGGCAACCCGCGTAGTTCGGCTCGATTCGAGAAGTTAAATAGCCGTAGCATCTTTGTAGACGACCAGATTAATTTACTTTTGTGTTTTAACATCATTTTTTTACTTTGTTTTGGTCAATTTGATCGTCCACACCGATAGACAGTATTCAGAAAGAGACAGAAGAGAGAGAGAAGAGGGGAGGAGTAGATCTTGCGAGAACTTCCGAGCAAAACAAAATGGCGACCCCCGTAGTTCGGCTCGATTCGAAAAGTGTAATAGCCATAGCATCTTTGTCGATAAAATTAGCTTACTAAACTTTTGTGCTATAACGTAATCTTTTCTTTGCCTTTATCCATTTGATCATCCACATCGATAGAAAGTATTCCGAAATTAGGAAAAGCAGGTCTTGTTTCACACCAGGTGAGAATAGCCTACGGTGGCAGGTCTCACCCGGGGTGAGAGGTCGATCGTATTTCTATGCTCACCCCGGGTGAGAATAGCCACTTCCTTGTACTTTACCGGGCCACCCGTCTCGGCCCGTGATTACTACGCACGCCTAGCCTAACTACGTCTATGCACTCATAGTTTTCTACATGTGGACAAAAGGTAATTCCGCTGGCGACTTCACACACACCGCAAGCCAGCGGCGAGGCCAGGTGAGCGGGAGGTAGCTCTAGTGGTTGAGGGTGGGTAGGGGATAGAATTTTTGGACCACCGTGTGTATCATACCAACAGGGGGGAAGGGGGGGGGGCTTGCCCCCCTGTAAACAATAATAAAGAAAACACACAAATGCAAAACAATAACATGAGCGGACAATCGTGTTTACATGATACAATGTAACAACAGTGGGGGGTTTCAGAGGGGCTAGCCTCCTGCAATAATTTAAAAACAAACACACAATAAACAATAACATGAGCGAACCATGGAGCTAAGTGTGGACAATCGGGGTAGAGATCTAATTAGAGTTGGAACAGGCCGAGCCTTGCTTTGAAGCACGCGCCGAGTCGCGAGTAGGGCTGAGGGGGTTGCAATTGTGCAAATGAGCTCTCGTGCGCATCTCTCGCCCTCCATTGTACTTTGCCGGACCAGGAGTAGGCCTAGCCTAGGCTAGCAGAGTCGTGAGCAAATAAGAATAGTGGACCAAGTGATTAGATTGACCTATTGGCCTCAAGGTGTCAGGGTCGTGGGTCAAAGTACACTGTGGCATGGTCGTGATGACTGAAAAACCCGGTAAGAGACGTCAGTCGGTTGTTGGCAGTTGAAGGATGAGGACGTAGAAAAATGAGTAGGAGAGTGAGTAGGGGAGCTCGGAAAGGAAGAATAGCTGGCCACTAGGCACCAGGGGCACCCTAGAGTAAGTAGTTCCGACCGGTGGTCCGGTCTAGTGTACAATCTTACCTCTTTATCTCCGAGAGGGTAAATCCACTCTGCCGGGGGGTCCCCTTTTTTGGTACTAAATCTAAAAATGACAAAAACGTCACACTAAATAAAAATGGGTCATTTTATTTTTAATTGAAACAAGCGAACCTATCCTATTATTATTATAGTACTTACTTTAATGATAATGAATGAACCTCCAGTAAAAGAGACCTGTTTTCGGCAATTGCTGAAAAGTTTAAATTTGATGTTGAATGTGCCCGAGCCGCTGTCAGCGGCTTACCGGCACTGCAGTTCCGACCACGAGCCGCTGGGAGCGGCTTGCCGGAGATAAAGAGTTAAGTTATCATATAATAATAGAGGTATTAAAAGTAGATTATAAATTAGGCTCTAACTCAAAATTAGTACTGTTAAATGCTTTTGGAAAACATCTGCTGGATTCTGGGTTGATGTGTATGGAGAAAACTAATCTTCGATCATCTCGGTCTTATATCTTTCTTATTTTTTTTCGGTATTAATTTAATTTGTTTTTATATCTTTTATACAATCTCAGGAATTCTCGTTCCATAAATTTACCTTCTCCTCAAAGTTGTACACACACACATATGTCACAAGTGCATGCACACGCGCACACACACACACACACACACACACAAACACAGGCACACATATAGACTTGCATGCGCTTGCCCACACACACACACACCCTCTCGCGCACGCACAGGGCCCGTCATGGTGAGACCTAGTCAACTTGCGAGGAAAGCCCCAGAAGACAACTAAAATAGATGGCGGAAACACGTCATAATTGGGCCAATCACAGAGGTGTGCTAGGTGCTCGCTGTATCTTCACGTTTTCTAATCTGATTCAGGTCAGCCAAGTTCGTACATGCATATAACACAATGGATTACGCTTTATAGGTAATCTTTTTTACTAGCTAATATATAATTATTTCACTACCGTCTCATGCTCAAATTATATTGTATTGCTAGCCTTTTTCTATTCATTTTAAAAATCCGTTTTACGCTATTACGACTTTATGACATGATCACAAATTAATAGTTTTTTAAAATATCAATGGTTTTTTATTCAAACTATGTTCCACTAAGCCTAATTGCATAGAGTACCTCATTTTCCCCCCTAATTTGATTTTTTTATGTTTTGATTAATAATATATATTATATATGAATAAAGTTTGAAATTTCTTGGAAATATAACTGATTTGCGACTGTTTTAGTGGACATATCATGTGTGATCTACTGGAAAAATAGTGCAGTTTGACTTCAAAAGCAGTACACTCCTGTGTGCGGGAGTGAAAGTAAAAATTTATCCTGCTATCTTTTTGGTAAATTGTTACTTTGGAAACTGCACACAAATGCACTGTTTCTTAGGGGTGAAACTGTCATTTGCTTCACAACACTCAACATATATGGCATGGCCACTAAAACCCTCACAATGCAATTGTTTTCAAGAAAATATTAAAGCTAATTTTGCAAAACATTTTAAATTATAGTAAAATTTAATACTGGGGGGAGATTCCCCCTGAAGCACCCCCCCCCCCCCCCCCCATGTTGTTCAAAACAAGTGAAGTAATACTGTGCAATTGAACCTATTAGTTCATATAATAATAACATCCATAATCTCATAAAGTAATAATTTGCGGTAAAAATGTGTGCAAATTTAAAGCAGAGAAGTGAACAAGATCATTGCAAAGTCTTTAGAATTCTATTCTGACCACAAGATGGGTCCATGAGTAAAATACACCCTTTATTATATTCTCATTGACCCAAAATTGATTCCAGTGGTTTGATGGAACTGAGTAGCCTAAGTTTTAAAACCTGACTCTGCTACTTTCACATAACGTCTTTGACTCAGACATAGAAGGGACATAAAAACATGAAGACCTAGGAAAGTTTCAATCACATTCATGCAGTCGACATCGCCTGCTGGGAACATCAATTAGCCAATGTGGGAAGAGGCTTTGGCAACTGAGAGCGGTCTCTCTGTCAGTAGTTTAAAACTACAGCCTAGAGATCATCATGATCAAATTATGTGTGTGTATTTTGATCGTTTACTTAAAACTGCCTTACTTTACTAAATTCCATGCCTTTTACTTTTACCATTTTCATCTGCTCCTCTGACATAAAAATTCAATTTCAAAACTGAATATTGTTTTTGTACTGTTGATTAATGAACGCAGTACACAACAGATTGTGAAACATTGGCCTTGTACTACACTTCAGTTTTCCTTAATGATGCCTAGAACATCTGTTCAATCTGAAGTTTGCTGCTAAAGATCTTGAAAGGCAAGCCAAGAAATCTGAAAAGGCTGAGAAAGATGAGAAGGTTAAACTCAAAAAGGTAAGACTTGAACAATATTGTTTCTTTTTTTATGAATGTTTGACATGTGTGCTCTAATTAGTTAAGTTAAATAATGGCTGTCTGTGAATTCACAATCTGTTCCCCAATTTTTTTTCTTTGATCATTTAATTTGATCAACACAACATTTTCATTTCTTTTTAATTTTAAACTGGATGGTTTTTCATTTAAAAAAACATCTTACTTCTTTACCATCCCTTATCTTGTTGATGTGCTTCTTTCTTTCAACTTATAATTTAAAAGAAAGTTTGCTGAAAATTATTTATTATTTTGTAAGTAACTATGTTGACATTTGATTACATAAGTGTATTATAGCTTTTTAGGGGCCTAGGGATAATTTTAGGGCCCTCTACAATGATCGAGCAATAATAGGTATTTGGAAAGGGTGGAGAGAGGTGGGGCTGAGTACAGGTGGAAATTGAGGAGGGGGTAGGGGGTGGGGGTGGTGGTAGCATTCATCTGCTTGTTTTCAGTCTCTGGCAGTTTGAGGAGTTTCTCATATGAACATTTAGCATACAACACTTTCATCTCTCATCTTCATTCATTCAACTTTCCTGTTTTCATGCTTCAAAGTACAAGAAGATAAAATGAAGTAAACTATGTCATTGTCAACAGGCAATTCAGAAAGGCAACTTGGAAGGTGCAAAAATCCATGCTGAAAATTCCATCAGGCAAAAGAACCAGGCTCTGAACTACCGACGAATGGGAGCTCGTATTGATGCAGTAGCTGCACGAGTTCAAACAGCTGTAACCACACGCCAGGTGACCGGTTCCATGGCTGGTGTTGTCAAGTCTATGGAGGCTGCCATGAAATCGATGAATTTGGAAAAGGTTTGTTCGGAGAAGCCAGCTCGGGCTGCTTTTCAGTCATGTGGATGTATATAGGCAGTAGCGTTGATAACAAAAATAGTATGTGTGTATCTGGAAGAGTATTGCTCAAAACAAGCAACTTAACTCACTCACTGCCACCCTGGAAGTGTTTCAGAAAAATTGATAGACAGTATACTGCCAATACCGAAATCTTTTAACGCAAGTTTCGAGTTTCCTCATTTTTTAAATTACTGTTATTACCTGATGTGTTTCGGGGATGGTCTTCACATGTATGTAACTTCTTTCCTTTATGAGTTGATTGGACATTGTTTGAGCTACATCCCTTGATAACAAAGAAATTTAGATTTTTTATTTTCAAGACAACCTGAAACACGTTTTGGCATGATGATGAACGAAAGTTACATCATTTTCAAACTGATGGACCCATATTTGATAATGACCTGGGTGGAATCTAGACAAGTCTAGTGATGAAGAAGATTGATTCAGTGTTTAGAAGGGGATAGGTGAAGGCTGTTCAGATGAATGACAGTAAACTTAACGATCTACATCTAGGCCCAATAATTTCATTTTTTTAAAATTTGTAAATAAAAAATTTCACACTTTTCTAAAGATCATAATAAACAACATTTAAGATATCTTAAAATGTTTTTTTTTTTCATCATGAAGTATGTTGTATTGCTTTTTTGCACAAAAGTGTCATTGTTGTGTTATAATGAATAATTTCACTGTGATTTGGCATTCTTCAGATTTTAGGCCATGAAATGCCCTGATGCAAGTGAGTTCAATTAAAGATTCTCTATGTAATCAAGGCTGTGTGTCAGAAGTATTTCTGATTTTCTCAAAGTTTCCTTTCCCTTGAGTTCTAAATGACATAGATGATGAATTTTGTGCTTTGAAACAAGGAATGTTGGTTCAGAGGATGAATTCCAAGAAGTTACTTTTGACTGAAATAAATTAAAGTAATGAAAGAATTTGTTTCCAGGGGTCATTGAAATTCTCTCTTTGAGTGTTTTGAGTGAAAGAACACGTTCCATTTTAGTGAATATATATATATACCTTGTGGGAAGTCACCGTCAACTTTTTTCCATTCATCAAACAACAGATCTCGCAGCTGATGGACAGGTTTGAGACGCAGTTTGAGAACTTGGACGTCCAGTCTCAGGTCATGGAAAACACGATGATGAACTCCTCAACACTGACCACCCCTCAAGGCCAAGTGGACTCTCTGATGCAGGAAGTCGCAGATGAAGCTGGGTGAGAATATTGTTTGTGTATGTGACTGTGTATTGGATGTGAAATTGTGTTTCTATTTTTTTATATGTATCTGTGTGTGTATTTGTGTCAGTAACAGTTGCAAATGAAGTTGGTTAAGATATATTTTTTATGATTAGGATTTTGTGTGTTGTTTTTATTCATACCTCTGTGCGTGTGTTTCTGTAATGCTGTGTGTGTTCACGTATTTCTGTTTGTTTGTCAGTGGTTATATTTTTCTGTGTATCCAAGGAAATTTGTGATTTCAGGGGTAGTAGACAGTTTTCCTCCTTTTCCTCTTTTTACCTCTCCGGAGACTGCTCTCAACTCCTTTCCATATGTGCTATCAAGTCTTTTCATTTTTGCGTTCACACCCTTTTGTAGAAATCTATAAAAAATGCATAGGCTCTCATCCAGAATTTTTCAGTAGTGAGATCGTTTACATTTTCAGATTAACGAAGAGGGTGGGGTCCGGAAATCGTTATTTTAACAGTTAAAGCTGAGATAGAAATTGTGAAAATATTTTCATAACCTACAAAAATCAGCACAAATGCTCTTATAAGTTCAAACATAACTATTTCGACCAATACTGCATTATGCCATTGCTAGTCATGTTCTCCGGAAAAAGGAATGGCAATGCATTTGTCTGATTGTCTTTTTATGTCGCACTGGTTTTCGCCATTCTTGAGTCTTAAATAATTTCACAATCGTTCGTACCAGGTTTTGTGAACCCCTTTTTAGAATGATGTTAGCATCATGTGATCATCATGATAATGTCGGGTAAGTGACATCTAGTAAATTTTTCAGGAGAAGGAAAAAACTTATTTATTTAAAGGATGGATTAGAGTTGTCCAATTTTTATACTATTAAGAAAGGCTTCTTTTGGTTGTTTATTCGAATATAAATTTTTTACCAGCAAATGAAACTCGCGCAAAAAAGTACAAATTGGACAATTTTGTTGTTATCCGATCTTATCACGCTGGCAACAGTTTGCTTCTGTCTTATTGCCTTATTTGTTTCATATTGAAATAATGTTCATCTTCTTTCTCCTTCATTCTTTTACATTTTAGCTTGGAACTTAACATGGACCTTCCAGCAGCCCAAGGCTCGGCTCTTGGTGCTTCAGCCTCCACACAAGCTTCAGCGGAGCAGGTAAGTCAAATCTGCTGGGTGGGTGGTTGGCGGGTCTTCTGGTGTGGTTTGCTTCTTCTTTCCTATCAAACATCTATCGTCTTTATCTCCCCTCCTTCTTTTTTGTGTTTGTTACTCTCCACCTCTAATCTTCGGCACTTATATGACCTTACTGTGTTGCAAGTGCCATGAAACACTTACTAAAACAAAACAACTCTGCTGGGTGTTGATTGTCTGTACCTTGTAGGGGGAAATTGTCTTGATTTTTTAGTGTATGCTTATTTGATTAATTGCAGTATTGTTGTGTGTTCTAGTTAAATCTCTGAATTATCTTTGTACAGACCTAGTGAGGTACTCAATAAGTGCAGAACCATAATCTGGGAAATTGCCATGTTCTGGTAATATATACCAAGTTTAAAATGGGGTAAAAGCTGGGACAAGATAGATAGTGTAAGTGGTTGCATACATGATGCATATTTTACTCTTGCAAAGAGAATGAGAAAAGGAAGCAGTGATAATGTGAGAGATGCAAAATAAATTTGTGTTCTGAGAATGGTGGGGTTTTTTGGACACCACTCCCCTCTTGCGTGCATAAAAAAATATAGTCTTATTATTCTCGATAACTTTCCTTTCTATATTCGATTTCAATCATTTAACCCTTCAAGAGGCAAATTAATTTCTCTCTCCGGTCCACCAGAGGAAAATTAATTTGAGAAGTTCATGAAAATTAGGGTGAGTCATTAAAAATGCTTATAACTTCCTTATTTTTTAAGGTAGAAATATGAACCAAACATCATTGAATGTGAAATTGAGTGGAAAAAAAACACGAGATAAAAATTTTCTAAACAATACCTTATCAAAGATTTCATTTGTTTGTTTGTCAGTGCCTTTGCCTGTGTGTTAGTCCTGACGTTGTTGTGTCAAATTTCTCCTAGTCCTTGTGTGAATGATACAGTTCAAAGCAGCCAGGGACACAGAGGGATATACCTCACACTTTTTGCATTGAAATGCGGTCTGTTTTCCTACCCCCCGGGTCAGTGCCACTGACTGAAGTGTCTTTAGGCCATTCTCAAAGGGGGGACATTTCTCTCTCTAATGCTCAAGTGAATTGTACATGGGCTGATCCAACAATGTCATGCTCATAACTTTGCCTGAACAACAACAGGGAACTGATGCTTTTTCTTTACTAATCCTTACTATCGTCATTTTCTTCTACTTCCTTTGTATGTTTGTCACACTCCTGTGACCCGCTATCTCCGGGGTGCCTTGAAAATCGAAACAGACTTGGTGCTGTTGAAGCTTGAGAGGTGAGCAGAGTAAGCCTGATTCCCTGTGAGGACTTCTCTGTTGACATCCACCCCTTGGCGCTCATATGACCTTATGCAGTTGCGAGCGCCGTAAAACCTCTACTAAAACAAAAGTCTGTTTTCTCTTGAATCACTACTATCCTGATAAAACATTTATATAAATGCAGCCATTTCCGATTCGATTACTGCCTTAGTGACTGATGTAAACAAATTCCTAGACTGTTCGTTTTCTATTCCAATTCTGAGACTAAATTCTTGTTTGGGGCAGGAAATGCTAGGAAATTTTTCCGTGAAAAGAGTTTTACTTAGTGTAATCCATTTCCGGTGTTTCTATACACAAGTTCAGGTTTCAAGTGCTCGTGTTCACGACCAGGACTATAGTCGCAATAACCTCGTGATAGGTTAACTTAAACTCTGCAAATCTCTTTCAAACAAGAATATTGTTGTATAAACATTAGACTTCAGTTTTTTAAATTGTTTGTAGCATTTGTTACTCAGCTTATTCTGATCTCACAGGCATTCTTTACATCATTCCTTATGAAAAGCATACTGGTCATGCAGGTTGTTGGGGGGCACCACTCGCTTTTCCTAATTCTTTTTCTTCCCCCCTCTGTTGTTATTTCTATGTGACTATCTTGCTTTTTAACAGCGCTAAATGAGAGTTATTGAGTGGATGTGCACCTTTTTATTAAACAAACGAACTAGCAAACTGCTCAGCAGTCGTAAAAGACAGAAAAGTAGATAAACACTGATTGTTTGATTTGGAAACATCATCCTAAGTACTTTTTCCATCTCCTCACCAGGATGAACTGTCACAGAGGTTGGCCAAGTTGCGTCAGATGTGAGCACAGAAAAGTTTTCGGGCAAACAAGCATCAAATTTCTCTCTTGTTGTGAACACTAGCCGCTGTATATAACGTACGAATACACTCTTGGGAAACATGTATTTGGCTCGTCGTTTCCTATTCTCTTTGTTTTTCTGAGAATAATGACAAGTAGGCTGACACTTAACAGTTTGCATGCATTACTTGTAGAAAATTAATTATGAATGGACATTTGTTTTGAAAAAAAAAATAAGAGACTGGTGATTGGTGGGGGGGGGAGGGGGGGTTGAGGAGTACAAAATATAATATTATTGGAGAAAAGGAGAGGGGTGGGACTGATATCTTGCTCCTTAAATTTAGGTTCAGATTTGATGCTGTCATGGATACAAATGTGACATCTGATGTTCAGAACTTAAAGATAATACCTGAACCTAACATGCGATTCATACTTCGTGGCTTCAAAGTATATGACACAATCTTTGGGCTTGTGACCTTCAAGCATTTCATACAAATTTAGATATTTAGATTGATTACCTCTTTTTTTACATTTCAACTTGATACTTCAAACTTGCTTCTCTGCACTTAAGCCCAGGAGTTTCTGAACTGATATTGATAGGGAAATATTTCTTTCAAAGCCCACAACTGTTAACAAGTGGTGCTGATCTTATTTTATCTTCTTTTGTGTTCAGTTGTGACTCTGATCCTGGTCATTGTGCTTATGATCACAAGCAGTGTCGTTGCTGGTGTCGTCTTTCTACTAAGTTTTGTCTTTTCATAGTTCTGGAATAAATAGATTTTGATTTTTAACCATGTTTGACTGGATGTGGTGTGAAAAGAGAATATGTGTGTCATTTTTTAAATCACAATTTGAAGGAAAAATGATTGAATGTGCAGAGGGTGCTCTGATATTTGATGAAGTGTGATAGATTACCATGTTTGAGAGTGAGTGAGAAGTTGTCTTTTTTAAATGTTTTAATGCAATTATGCTTTGTATTATATTTAGACTACAAGTGGTTCTTGTATCTCAAGTGATGAAAAATTGTGGAGAGATGAAGTAAATCTACTCTTGTACAAATGCCGTAAATGTATAACAAAAATGGCAGTTTCTTTATTTCATCCTTTTTGAGTTACGTTTAAGAACAGTATGTGAATGGTACTAATTGAAACCAGGTTTGTTATTAATTATTGTAGTCAAAAGTAAATGGATTGTAAATATGAATAAATCTTAGCTGTTACCACACTTGTTCATTTGTTCATTATTCTTTGCAGTGCTCTGTTATCCATTTCCTTCCCACTGCATGTGCATTTAGAATGAAAAGAAAAATCTTTGTATAGCCAGACATTTGTAAAGACCATATGATTGAGTGGTTGTTGCTTTATTACCAGTGCTTGATTTTCAGGCTCTTGTTTTTGAACTGCATCCTTTGATGTTGTTGTTGTTATCGATCCAGGATAAGGTCAGCATATTGTAACGCCACAGTGCTGCGAATGTTGTGGAGATTTGTTACCTCATCTTTTTAAATAACTTTATGGATTATTATGAGTGCGCAAGCTACTCATCTTAATTTGTTTTGATGCCCTTTCAAAGAACCTCAGATGTGTAGGTACTCTGATGCAGTGCTTGCTACAAGCCAAGGGGCTAGTGTGAAAAGTAGTTAGCGTGAATATACTGAGGAAGGCCTTTGACTTTATCCTCCAGTCTCCAGATAAAAACCAGAGATATTTTTAGAATGAAGTAAGGTCAAATGTGAGGCAGTGTGGTGGAATCAGGCTCTCGTCAAAATAATCAAAGTGAAGAAACCTGCATTTTTCCGCTGGTTTGTGAATTTTTAACAAATGTTTTTTATTTAGCTCAACACCTTTCATGCCTATTAAAGAACTCATTTCTGTGTAGATTTTCTGAAAAATGTTGATTAAAGGCACACAAAAATTTCAATTTTCAATTATCACGGACTCTTAAGCAAAGGAAATAACTAATCTTTGGTGGCTATTTTCTCACTAATTTTACCTCTGAAAACAGGTGACCCTCACCTCCTTCTTTTGCAAATATCTCGACTTGTATTCAAGATAAATGGATATTTCTTTTCATCCAAATAAAGACAAATGAACAAGCTTTAAGATGATAACAATAACTCTACATGCTCCAAAATTGACCAGAGCCTGATTCCACCACGCTGCCTCACAAATTTTAAAAATCTAATAGAATGACTTTTTGATGTCATAATGCATTGTTTGCTTCAGATGACCCTAATGGAATGAAGCTGGGAAGTTGTTGATGTTGAATACTGAAATCAGTTGTTCTAAGGTATCGAATAAAAGGGGGAGGGGGAGGTGAACTAGTGGTCCAAAATTAATAAATGGGGTGGGGGGGGGGCGCACATTCAGCCTCATACCCCTGTACTAGTAGGAACAAATCTGTTTTATTTCTCCTTCAGTGAATAAAAGAACAAGAGCTCGTGAAATTTTAGAGAATTTAGTAAGTTACTGTGACAACTTTTCCCATTTATTTAGGATCAGGAACAACCAGTTTCATTAAAAAATATAAACCAATTTACAAAAGTTTTTAAAATGAACAGAAAATTGAGGTTGCCAACCTGGTGCCAGTACTAATACTGAGGGTAATTTTCCATATTTACAAGAAAAAAAGAAGTTTCATTCCTATATCTCTAGATTCTAGATAAAAAATTTTCACAAGATCATCGGCCGTGGCAAGCTGAAAAATAATAAACTGGGGATATGGAATAAGGAGCAGGGAGTGCGCAAAAAATCTGAAAATTAATAAGTGCAGGGGGGGAGGGGGGGGGGCTTAATCGATACCTTAGAGTATGCTCTTTTTAGTTCCTGGACTTCTTCCAAGGCAAAGTGTAAGAAAAGGTCTTATTTTGTTATCCGAACTAAATTTGAATAGTTCTTCAGAAGTGATACTAAAGTCTTCTTGACCCGCCTTAAAAATGTATTAAAAAGTTAAAGGCAAAAGCAGTCTTTATACAGCAATGCACAAAGGTCAAAATAAATGTCTGATGACTTGCATGCTACGCATAATTGTTTTATGTTTTTGTACTCTCAGTTTGACTCTATTGTTTGTTTTGTTTTCATGTTGTGCTTTTGTAGAGTTCAGAACAAACATCTTTTTCTTAACAACAAAAATCGAATGGTTCTGAAGAGACCCTAAAAAGAACAAGTGGTTTAAGGGCGCCACTGGTAGGTCCTTTTTCTTTTTTTTTCCCCTCTGTTGTTTTTTTTTTTTTGGGTCTATCTGTCGTGCTTCTTCCCTGCCCTATATGGCCGTTATTCTGTCAATGTGTTTTTCTTTACTCAAACAAGTTTAAATGTTCGTTCGTTTTATATAGTTGTTAGTCCTTCCTGCACCTAGTAAAGGTTTCAGGGCAACAAAGTTTTGTGAGCGTTTGATTTTGAGTTTTAAGTTATCCATTTCCTTCAAGGAGGCTCCCTTGAGCTACAGGTATGGTGTTTGCCTCCTGTTAACCATTCCAGACCCATTTACGTATATTTTCAGCAGCGCTTGAACCTCCCACCATCCCAAGAGCGTATATTCTCAGTTTCGAGAGGCACCGAATTTGCACGTTTTTCGAATTTAACAAACTAAATTAAACTTTAATTTCTATAATATCTATTCATTTACCTTTAAACATTGTTATATGTTATTATTTAACCCACACTTCAAAGATACTACATCACGTTTTAGAATGCATGCCTCTTTTTCTGAAATACTGCTGTATTGGATGGGACTGGGATTAGGGAGAGCACAAAAATGGCTGGGGCTGGAAGGGTTAAAAGGTCCTGGGTTCGAAACCTGACAACAAAAGAAAAGTTTTCCTTTCGAAATATTTTTCCTTTCGAAATATTTCTCCTTTCGTCTCCTTTCCTGTTCTCTAGTCATGTTCCATCATCTGTTTTCATCTCCACTTTTTCTCCCCCCCCCCCCCTTTCTCCCCGCTCGTTTCTCCATGGGTACTGACTCCTTCCTAATCTTACTCAAGTCTCCATCCTTTTGGCTGAGGAAGCTAAAAATGCCTACAACTCAAATTCCATAACTTTGGGCACACTTTGGCCTTTGCACACACACACACACACACCCCCCCCCCCTCAAACACACACACACACACAACCCTTGTTTTCCTAAGGACTCCTCTCTCCTTTACTCCAGACTTTCTACTGCTGCTCCTAGTACCTTCTTATTGCCGTCTTTCAAAATTCTTGCATGAGTTGAAAATCCCTTGGTGATCCTAAAATCGATAAAAATAAGAGTAGGCTTCGGCCATCATCCAGGCAAAATTCAAAATTAATTCCTACCAAAACTGAAAATATTCTAGTCAGTATAAAATCAAGAGTACGGTACTTTCGAAATCGGAATGCCTGAAGGCAAGAGGCCTTACGAAGTGGGAAACATGGTCACATTAGTAAAAACCAGCACATGACTACCCCTGAGATGAAGCAGGGGAACGTAAAGAGAAACAAGAAGATCCATCAATTATGATTGTTTAACAAGGGCATTACTTTCTCCGCATTCTCTTGGAAGATCTCAGGGGCTGTTAATAGATAGCTCTTCACCCTGCACCGCAACCGATTCTTTCACTGATAACCATTTTTTCTTGAAGACTGTTCAGCCCCTCTCCATTTTCAGTTTTTCCCTAGTTTTATTAATTACTTATACTGGCAACAGTGTCTTCTTTTTTAAATATAATAATAGACAACGTGTAATTTGAAATATGGCCCCAGTAGTCAGTTGTTGCAACTCAACTTTTGAAAAGTTTCAACTGTCGAGGTACGAAGTGCATCATAACTAGAAGGAATCAGTCACCATGATAAAGACAAACTCCAGAGCAGGACAAAAGACAATACATTGTATTTTGAACTAAATTTTATTGTTTTGATCACCATGTCATGCTATGTTATGAAATATTGAGCCTCTTCTGTAATTATGGACACGGTACTCCTAATGGAACTGTAATTTAAATACGATGCTGCTGGCTCAAGGAACATGAAAACACTATCCATGGGGACACGTCTAGCATTAACACGAAAAACCAGAAAATAATCAGCACACAAAAATGTTTCAACCCTTTCCCTTCAGTCGCAAAGATGCACCCTTCTGTAAGCATTCAGGATCACATGACAAGACTAAAGATACACAGACAGACTGGGTCGAGTTTGGATTTCATCATCATACAGCATGAATGAAAAACAATTATTGCTTATCTTTTCAAAAGGTCACAGTTTCTATTAAAAGAATGTGAAACTATTCTTAAACATCAGAACACAGAGTATCTGCCATTTTTTAAAATTCAATTTTTGTCTGGAACATCACTCAGTGCAATGAAATATTTTGGCAACAGATTTAATCATCAGCAATTATACAAAAAGTATACAAAATTTTAAAATTTGACAAAAAACTTGTAACAAATACAGAAATATGTCTTAATGGATCTGATTGCATTTCAACTATTTCAACTACTATCCAGAAGTCGTCCTGAGGGTTCTGATACTGATGTCATCCATGAATTGAGGCTGATCACAAACTTAGTAAAAAGTAAACAAATAGACCTAACGTGATCAAAGTAATGAAATGACGCTTTCTTTCAAGAGGCTGGTAGTGATGCTGAAAGAAGAAAAACATTATTTTTTCACTTAACTTTCTTTATTGAAGTTAAGAAGAGCAGAATTTATTATTAAGCTTGTTGTCAATTTGTTATAGTAAGGAGCTGATATCTTTGTACTACTACCCAGATTCTGGGAAAAGGAGATGGGGGGGTGTATTAATTACCAAAGTTCAAGTTCAGCAGGCTCCTCTGTATAAGGTAGAGAGATGAGACATGAGAATCCAGAAGAGCGTTTTCAGTGAGTGTCACATGTGACATTATTAACTCAACAGAAGTCCTGGTTCGTTTTACTCGGCTGTTCTTGCTGTTTTAGCTATGGCTGGGAGATCCTCCCATCATTACTCCTAAAGGACTGAATCTGCTCCCACTCAAATATAATATACAGTACAGCCTCAGAAAACCAATTTTTAAAAATGGTTTCAAAACAATTTGTTATGTCCACCTGTTCAATCTGAGTTTTTCTCTCACAGTCCCTAAAGTGACATACCGTATATAGTGTGGCATCCTGTAAAGAGCTCAACCGTTACCATACTTATTTTCCATCGCCATCAAAACATGTACTCTTTTGCCACTGGACAAATGGTAATACGACTTATAATTCTAGTTATATGTAATATAGACTGTAAAGCGCATAGAGCTTGCAGTTGAGCAGGAAATTACGCTCCACAGATACTATCTATTACTTTTTTCAGTTACTGTTTAAGTTGTTCTGTTTAATAGAGCTGGGAACAATACCCAAAACATTACTTAATTACAAGTCCAACACCAAGCCTAATAGACAAGGGAGCCCAAAGCCTTCTGACATATTACATGAATCAATGTAGGCCTCAGCTCAGACTTGTTTCTAATCTACAAAAGCCATAAAAAACAGTGGACATTTTTTTAAAAAGTCTCAGCATCAATGCTCTCCTATCTCTCGTGAGATGTGGTGTAGTTCTTGTAAAACTCATCTATTTCGAAACAAAAAAACAAAATCACTTCATTTTCACAATGAAAAAACTACCATGGTCAGTTAATTTATAAAAATAAGTTCAGGTAATAGTTCCAGTCGCTTACTGGCCAAGTTTAAGATTTCCCCCAAAATATTCTCCAACCTAAAATAATGAAACAAAATCCACATGTGTTTATGTATTTCTGTGAAAACAAGGCAAAGAAATAAAAAAAAAGTAGTAAAGAGACGGAGGCAAATTTCTTCCAGTCTCCTGCACAAAAAGTTATTCTAGAGCTGGCCATTTTGTGATAGACATACTACGAAACAAAGAGAAGCAATGAAGTACAAGTACCATGCAAAATGTGTTGGTAAATAATTCTAAAATTATGCTATTTTGTGCTCGATTATTGGGTATAGTGTAGTGCAGAAAATATGACAGTGCTGTGAACTTGTTTTCAATTGAGTGTTCATATTATCAGCAAAATTTGTGCCATTATGCAATGTATCGTTTCTATGATGATATTGGGTATAAGTAAAGTGTAGCCCCGTTCTTTTAATTACCTGACCTGGTGCGCAACCAGGGATTACAGGGGGGTTTCAGCAAAGTCTTCCAGGAGCTAGAAAAGGTGGGCTGAGATTGTCATGATGTGCAAAGATATGGGGGCTCATACTTTACTATTACCTGATATTACCACTAATCATTCCTTTGACTACAGCATTCAGTGCAAGATTTACGGTAGGTCACGCAATATCGCGTGTCTGTGCAGTGAAATGTCTTTGTATAGAACTACAAGTGTTATATCAGTGTCATCAGGCTGACTATCAAAGAATATGGGTCGATGCAGAACCCCAAAGCAGTGATTCGACATAACGGTAAAAGTGTGTAAGGGGAAACAGGAGAGGTTACAAGGTTCCATTATATTGCACATGCCTTAATTGTATAAAATATATATATATGCACAAGTTGAATATAAAAAAAAAAAAAAATTAAAAATCACCTCTTGCTTTTAACCACAACTGACTGAAATTTTTAAAAATATGTATACCTGGTACACATGAAAATGATACAGATAACACATACACGACAGACAAAGATAATACCCGGTACATCGTCTTGGACCAACATGGAAGTCATTGTAAGTTTCTGTAAGATTCTAAACAACAACTTTTATTGCTACGCTGAGTTATAAGAAAATGCTTAACAAGTATAATTTTTATCACACACTAGGAGTTGAAGTGAATTCATGAATACCACAATCCTGACTGAAAATAATCACACTCTGCTAGGAAGCAGATTACAATAACAGTAACTTTGACAAAGAAGTAGAATGAACACACCACAACCGATAGCGCCCCCACCCCCCCCCCCCCCCTCGACCCCATTTTTTTTTTCTCTCTTTCAGGAGAAGTGCAGGAAAAACTCCACCAATTTAGCAGAATACTTTAACTCATGTTATGTTACACAGTTTTGACCACAGAGAGTCTTCAGCTTTTATAGAACAACAACAACAGCATGACGTCTACAGCAACAAAAACTTCTGCAGAACTATGATCCAACAGCAAATCTAACAGTAACAGCATCATAGTTATAGTAATCACAGGAAATCTCTCTCCTCTCTTTCTCTCCAACTATCTAATACCCTTCAAGAGAACATCCACAACAACAAAAATAACGTGTGTTTGTCCTTTAAAAATAATCAATTTAACCTTAAAGTCGGACACAGCTACTACTCATTTTCACATTCAAGTTACGAGCGTAGATAAAAAAGAAAAGGGGCTTATACTTTAAAATATAATATTCAAGAAAAATATAAAAGGAAAAAGGCTAATACTTAATGAGTAACGTAATGCTCAAGCCACATCTATATAGGAAAAAGAGGGCGAATACTTTAAAGATATAATATTCAAGCCAGATCTAAAAGAAAAAGAAGGCTAATACTTAATAATGTTGTGTCAAGACAGATCTAAAAGAAGATGGGTTAATATTACACATTGTTCAGCGATTACTTTCAGCTTCATACTCTAGCTAAGTGATGTGTTGGTCGCGCAAATCCGTCATCCTTGAGACAAAGTACATTAGTACCCTGAAAAAATCCCAAATAAACCTTTTAGTGAAAAAGGGGCTTTGGAAAGTGATAATTTTTGTGTTCAAATAAAAAAGCGTAAGGACCACAAATTTAAATGAACAGCATACACGTATGTACCCGGTTTTTATTTTTCTACCTCATACTCATTTTTAACTACAGGTTGTATTGGTAGTACAGTTACAAAAGCTACCATTCCTTGCAGGGATTTCCATGACTTCCAACTACATTTCACACTCAAGTAAACCAGGATAGGATCTTTCAAGTCTCGCACATGTGTAGAATTTAGAAAAATTAAAAGGGCGACGATAATACGTCAGCTGAGTACAATCATATTTCTTGGATTTTTATTAATTACAACAACAAAAAATTGATATTTTTGTTAAAGTATAAAAAGTATTACAATTTAGATAATTTAGGGAGCAGTATATATAGATCAATCATGCTGAAATAATACATTGTACTGAAACAACTTTAAATAGTAATAGTATGTATACAAAAGTACAAAGGGAATTACATAAATTTTGAAATAGTAAACTCACCAAAACAATAACAAGAAACTCTATATATTTAAACGGGTAGCTCACCAATACAATAAGTAACTCTCTTTAAACAGTAAGCTCACCATAACAACATCATTATACAGGGCACAGACAGAGGTTCACAAGTGGCAAGTCATCTTTAACAAGTTACAAGCCTGGTATAGTGTAGTACATCTCACATAAGGCGCACTATCTATGCAATAGAATTTCCAGAACATACACGGTGGACAAAACCAAAAAAAACTCTGGCCTATCACAAGCAAAAAATGGGAATATAAAATGTCGTATTACAAAAAGCAGATAGCCTGTGACATTATTATTGCACATTCTCTGAAAAACAACAAAGATTTTCAGGGAAAGTGGCACCCTTATCATTACACAGCATCAGGGATATCTTCATCGGCGTAGTACAGAGAACTCAAAGACTGACTTTTCTCCTCATCCCGCAGCAGAGAGGAGCTTTCGTTTGCGCTAAGCGAATCGGAAGAGTCGCAACGAGCGACATAAACGCTAGATGACAGGGGGCTACGAGCTCTGTTGTGATGTGGACTCTCCTCTGACCTCAGAGTGGAAGAAGACCTTGAACTTCCATCATATGATGTTCTCGAGTCGGGGTAAATGGAAGATCTTCCGTCGCTGCGCGAGAATGAGCGAGAGTCGCTACCGCCGCTACTGGGGGTGCCTACAGGGGACCGACCCAACTCGCCTAGAGGGGAGGACGGGCGGTAACTCATGTTTGGTCGAGATATCGGAGAAGTGTAGGAGAGAGGCGGAGGGGAGGACACCCCCTCATAACTAGATCTAGACGACAAAGGGGAGGTGTAGGTATATGCAGGTGGACTGAATCTTTTCGAGTGTAAAGAAAAATTGGAACCTGTCTCACTTTGAGTGGATGGAGAAGGGGAATAACCTTGAGGGCCGCCACTCCTTGTCGAGGACGAAGGGTCGCCAACGGTAGTTTTCTTCTCAAAGTTACTAACCAGACCACGCACACCAGGTGGTCGGTATGACGGTGGACTCTGTAGCTTGACCAACTGACCATCTGATGTCGCCCCAGGAGAAGGCCCTCGCTGACCAGGAGAGTTACGGTCTCTCAGATCCAGACTGGTCGGTTTCGGCGGGGGGATCAAAATACTATCACCTTCTGTTTGTGCTGCAGAAGGTTCGGATCCTTGATTGGCCCAGGCTGTGGACTTTGTCGCTGGCTTGTGCCGGACTGCTACAATTGGTTTATTTTTGTCTCCGGGACTGATCCAACTGCCACCAGCAGACCCTGTGGAGTACGGGTACGACTTTGGGTGACTAGTGCCTGTTGACCCTTCTTGTAGAGTCATCCCTGCAGATCCATCCATCTTGGGGGAAGACGGTCTTCCATACTTTGTGACATCACGAGTAGGAGAGGTCAACGGTGAAGGGTTCCTCCATCTTCCACCATATTTATTGGTGTTATCACGAGTGGGAGAGGTCAGAGGTGAAGGACTTTTTGACCTCCAATCATTTCTCTGGTAACGATAAGGGCTCATGCTCCTAGCCTGATGGCCTCCTCCTGTACTGCCAACGCCATGTCTGTCTACACCTTCAGGTGAGAAAGCACGCCGCGGTGGAGGGAACGCCATTGTCACACGAGTCGGGCTGTGATCAGGGGAGAGAACTCCGTAGTTCATTATAGGGATGTGGGTTGGGGAAGAAAGAATCGAGCTCTGAGAGCTGGTGGTGGAACTGTAGGTCGGTTTTTGTCGCGAGTCGGAGGAGGAGCTAAACGAAGGTTTTCGCACCGGGGAACCATGGGAGGAGGAACTGAATGATGTCTTACGCTGGAGGCTGTCTTGTGGGGAGGTGTAGCCTGTACGGTGGCTCGGGGTGTTACGGTAGCTGACGAACAGCTTATGGGTGGGGGAGTCGGTGGAGGAGGAGCTGTACGAGACTTTGCGAGTCGGAGAGGTTTGGGAGGAGCTGAACGACGGCTTACGGACAGGAGAGTCATTGGGGGAGGAGCTAAAGGAAGTCATGTGACTTGGTGACGTTTGGGTGGAGGACCCACTTATGGATGTTTTGCGGATCGGAGAGTGTGACGGGGACATTAACGGTGGTGAGGTAGAAGGGACTCCAGACAGAGGGGTATGAGGCTCGTGTTGGGATGTCATAGATGTAAGAGAGCTTCTCTGAGGGGGGTGAGGAGGTTTCTGCGGTACAGGCTGTGATAGACGTGTTGGGGACAGGAGGGCTGGGGCTGTGCTAGAGTACTGTGACCTCTGACCTTGATTAGACACAGCACCAGTTGGAGGCTGACTGTAGGTTTGGGGGTGGGTACTTGGAGAGAAAAGCTTCTGCTGAGCCTCCATGTTCTCTGTGCCAGGCGTTGAGGGGGGAGAGCTGTAAGATTTTATCTGCTCAAGAGCCGAACTCGCAAATGGGACTGTGTCTTGTAACACAGGCGATGCGACTGCCCCTTGGGGTTTACGAACAGCTGCCCGGCGGCTCGGGACAGCACTGGAAGCCAACGGAGGCCCCGAAACTGGACTAAACACAGGGGAATTTAGCAAAACTTGACTTGTTGGCGACTTCGGCCCACGGTCATTTTCCTCTTTTGCTGGACTGCTTATACTATCAGGTAATCTTTTCGCGGAGGTCGGGGAAATAACGGTATCGAGGGAAGAGAAGGACACAGAACTTTCTGTAGCAGATCTACCCTTATCAGAGCCTCTACAGCTGCTCTCTAGTGACTGTGAGCTCTCAGTGCCAGAAATTCGGGTAGAAGAACCAGGGAAAGATTTCCCAGGCAAGTCAGAACTTTGAGCTCTCTGAAAAAACGCGTCTGATCTCGACTTTCTTTGTTCTCCCGAGGAGCCGATTCTTCGGCGTCCAGGTCTGTCTCCTTTGTCAGCAACCACACTGCTGGTGGCTTCGGGATATTGCTTCAGCTGATGAGTTTCGGTGGCACCGCCTTCAGGAGAAGGCAAGGCCGCTAGCTGTTGAGCCGCATGAGTCGCCAACTTGGAGTGGTAGGCGTCTCTATCCACACTCTGCGTTTGCTCGCCGCTGTGTAGGCTCATGCTGTGTTCCTGGTGTCCCTTCCTGCGATGGAAACTATGTCGTGGGCTGACTGATGGGCTGACGGAGGGTGACCGGGAGTGGACGATACGACCACCCTGGCGGTGGATTCGTCCAGTCCTCGTCGTGGTGTTGTTACGGTCCTTCTGACTCGTTGGGGAGTTGCTTGGGTCATCGTGGGACTTTGAGCGCTGCAGGAAGCGTGCGCGTGCAGACTGCAACACAAGGCACCACGAGGAGAAAGGAAAAGAAAATAGAAGAACACAAGTAGTAGCAAGAATGAGAGAAGGTCCTGAGAAAAAAGTCGAACTTGAAACACAAACATTTTACGGAGTATAGAAAGATGTAAAAAAGAGCACTAGGATTAAAAAACATAATGTATCAGCAGTTTTAGTAATGCTATGAGTTTAACATTTATTTAAACAAAAGTAAGTGAAGAAATTATGAAAGGGAAAAGGCAGAGCTCGCTTAATTGAAAAAATGGATAATCCTCGAAGATGTTTGGTTTTCCAAGACCTCAAAACACTTTTAGCAAAATATGGCAATGTTCTGACAGAGCAGCAGTATTAGGAATAGAATTTAGTTTCTCAAGACCACCAATACTATAATAGTCTTGGGCAAACAGGAAAGAAATTGCAAGATAACAGAGTACAAAATCACATCCTTATTAAGTTAAGTTAGAGACCAAGGTGGAAATTGTATATTTCTCAAAAAGACTAGTAATTGAACAGTAGTTTACAACGACTTCATATATGATAAAGGCTAAATTCCGCCAGTGGCAACAGATTAGTTTTATTAGTAACAATGAAAAGAAGCAGAGTTAGACGACCACACCAAAGAGCTCACCAACCACTCGCTTTTAGAGAAAGATAAGAGAACGTTGTACAAGTATGCTCACAAGTACATGCTTGAAGTGAAACAGAAGTGTAAATATCTCAGAATTGTACCAACATTAGTTTTACACTGAGCTAAGGACGCAAAAATTTTAGAATTTTTAAAGCCTTACTAAAACCTAAAAAGCTAAATACAAGCTGTGATAGTTACAGTTTTGTTTTTATTTCAAGCCAGTAAAAAAAGTTTTGTTTGGGTTCAACACAAAGACAATGAATATAATACAAAGCTATCTCATTACTCCTGTTCCTCATTGCGCTAGACGCTCTGTAATTATTTCAAATATGTTTTGGTTACCACTGTTGAACCTGAGACGATCACCCATTGCCAGGAGAAAAATGATCATCTTAGATAGGTGGTCCTCTTAGACAGATAATTGTAGAAAAAAAAAGCGCAAGAGGGAAAGTGGAAAAGGGTTGTTCGTTTAGGTGGATGTCTCCGACATTTGGATGTTAGACCAGGTTCGACTGTATTTCAGTGAATTTTTCAAAGATATCTTAGATCTTATTCCTTTGAATATCACTAATAAAAACATACATTGACCACAAGACATGAATCAGCTCTTCGCAGTTCGATTTCACTCACCGAAAGCATTAACATTGACGCGTGCAATGTAAATTTCGTTTCACACCCACAGAACACCAAACTTACACTTTTGTTTCACTACAGCGCCACACATGTACATAAAGCCTTCACAACAAACAGTTGTCCTTCCATGACAAGGCCCACCAGTGCCAGTGGGAGACAGCACACAAGGCTGCAGGTGCTCATACACCACACACACACACACACACACACATATACACACAAACACACACACATACACACTCACAACATCAGCAGCACAGTTTCTTCAACACACAAAAGCGAGGGATCCAAACAGTTGAGATTCAAAAATTCATTCCCTATGGCAACAAATAGCTCTACCTGCCAAGAGAACAATTTTGTACTAGTGGTGGGAACATTTTCATGCAGTAACGAGTAGACATATAGTGACTTCCATATATTCATACAAGTGGAACACAGCGCAGCCCCGCACAATCCAAGACCATCGATAATTTTGAGAACTCCGTCCAAAGGAAGTGGTGTAAAGCATTACACTCCTTCATTTGTGTCAAACAAAACCTTGTCAATCAGTACAAGAGTAATTATTCTTATACTGGAAACTGGAAAAAATAAATCATTATGACCAAGGAGCAACCCCCCCCCTCCGCCCTCCCCCCCCCCCCCCCCCTTTAGTTCAATCCTTCAATAATCCACTACAACTTACACTCAAAAAGTGGGAGAGCAGATTAAAGTGTGATTTTCACAAAATATTGTATCATAAGTTTATCATTATCATCTACCAGTATCATTCTTTCATCAACACTGTGCGACCTAACTGGAATTTTTCAACTTTTAACCATGATGAAAAGGAAAAAGTGATTAGAATAAGATATCAAGACTAAAAGCTCAAACAGCAAGTTTTCAAATAAAAAGAGAAAAATAATGAGAAAGACAGTTAAAGGAAGCTTTTCTTGACATGGCTCATCAAGAAAATCAAAAGAGACAGGAATCATTAAAGAAGGACAGAGACAGTCCTAACAAATTGTTACCTATACATGGCATTTTCAAAGAATGGAGCAGTAAGAAGACGTGAGAAGTTGAACTATTTAACAACTTGACGAGCATGCTCAGGTTCTTTAATGAATTCGCTATACAAAAGTTCAGGTCCGATGCTCTCAAAACAAGCATAGAAACGTCACGAATTTGAAAATTGCCTTATTAGCCGAAATTGTTCCTTTTTCTAAAAAATATTTAACATTGTAAATCTGCAGGGTTTTTCAACAGGTAGCTGAATATACAAGTAGTTCATTCTTCTCCCCTGTAATATCAAACAAGCCACAGACATGTTTGGGGTCATTTGGTGAGTGGAATTATTCCAAGTTACCAAACTCTGAATGCTTCAAATTCCACTCACAGTTCTGAAAGGAGACTAACATCACTAAAATAAGGGGATCAAGCTTCAAAATGCACAAATAGTTTGTGTTGTAATCTATGTTGTGTTCTGTGAAACAATGCCAAGGACAAGCATGCAGATGTTAAGACAATGCAAAGACAAAACACTTGGACAGTTTTTCAACTGTAATTCCTTTAATTACGAGCAGGATCACAGCAAACACATAGACATTGTTAACAAAGACAGTGTCAAATGTCAGTGTTAGTCAATGAGCCGACAAACTGAGACGTCTTCTCTTTCTAATATTATTATCTCTAATCTTAACACATAACACTAGTTAGACAGACATCACAAGCCAACTACCGACTACGACACCATCAAATTGTAGCATTATAAATAGAATAAATGATGAACGGACTTAAAATCTACAATCTAGAACATGTTTAAGTTTAACTACTCTGCTTAATTTAACCAACAAAATACACTAGAATGAGAAAATATCTCATTCGTAAATAAAAGGCACGTCAATCAATCACATGAGTTCTAGTACAACTTCCAACAGATATAGCAGCCCAAAAGACACCTGGACCATTCAAGTAGGCTACTGCGAGGAATAGATGTCACCAACTTTCAAATCAGTTAAATAATTTGCAAGGTATAGGACCTTTAATTTAACTTCCATCTCTAAATAGAATTATAAGGAAAAGGTGAAGGCAAGTCCGAAAACCCCTTATTAATTAAACAACAGATACAAAAATTCCTTGTTGGAGACTTGAACTAGGGGTCATCCACACTCCGGTCAAGCAGGATACTAATTGAGCTTAAGGCACATCACACATCCCAGGCACACACTCATTTCAAAAGTAACCCCCCAAAAAATTTTCTTAACCCTATCCGTACGTTGTGTTTTACTATCGTATCCATACGACGTGGGGAACTCTATGTCTCCACTTTCCAAAGAGGAAATTTACTCGTTAATTCGATCCGTATGCTTTGCATTGCAGTCTGTCAAAATAATTTTTTGAGAAATACTGAAAGTTTTGAAGAGACCTTCATACTAGAAGAATTCTAAAATGTGAAAAATACAACCCCGGAGGTACAAAATGACCCCAGGGCGTACGGATAGGGTTAATAAGCAAATTGGGTATTGGGCCCTATTAACTCACTCACTGTGAGGAGCTGACTGAACAGCTCAGTATCTTCATGGTTACAGCAAGCCATATCATTGGCTTGAATATATGACTCTATAAATAAACTAATCCAAACTATACTTTCCAAAACAGTAGGTCTATCTATATTTTGGTATGAAACTATTCATTTTTTTCAAATTTCCTATCAATTTTCTTGTATTTGAGGTATTATATGTTATTTTTGCTAAAGTAAACAAGAAAATTAGTGGAAACCATCTTATGTTTACAGAGTCACGACTTGCGGCTAAAATTTTGGCAATCTGGACTACCTCAGCCCTGTTTTGCACAACAACATTCCCTTCACTCTACAACAGGTTGATACCCAAAATTAGTGCTGTTCGCTTATACTTAGTATTGGTCCTAACATTTCAATCAAGGTAAAAATCTTCCACGGCACAAGTTTCAACACTTGTTTCCTATAAACTTTTTTATGAATAGTCTGCCTTTTAAAAAATTTTCTAGAGCCACTTAGTGAAGAAATGCCTATGTGCTACTTACTTTAATCACTTGCTAAACTCAAAACTAAACAAACAGTCGATTTTTTTGAAAAATTCATAATTTACTATTGCAGCCCAGTCTTATTTCTACATAATTTCATTAATTACAATGTACGGCAATGCAATTTGCATGTAACAGTATATTTGATCTGAGTCTCATAGCTCATAATGACAGTCCAGCGAGTTCGTTTGTAGTCCACATAGCAAGACTTAGATCGATGGCTCCATGCAAAACTCCCACAAATGCCATTTTGTAATTTGGGTTTGCTGCAGTCTTGCACCCAGCCAATGAGATAATGTGATGGATACAAAGGAAGTGCCTTAGCTGAACCAATGTAGCCTGTGTTTTTTTTATAACGGAATGCTAGTGTCAAAAAGTATTTGATGGGACCCATCTAACTTTGTTTCATACAATGATTATAAGTATAACTTGAACGGAAATAAATATGATTACAGTAACAAAGATTTTAGAGTTGCAAAACTAGAACACTTGTACAAATTTCAGCTAGCTGCCGTCAACATCTTTCAAACTGAGACCGGACATCAATGAAATGTCAAGACATTTTTTACAAATTACCTTTGCAATTGTCTTTGCTTCATTTGCATATCTTTATTCAGTAGTAACAATTTTAGCATCTTTATCATAATGAAAAATGAATTATAATTGTGCTGCGAGTTTCTCAGTGTGTGTCTTTTTTTTTTAATTTAATGCATCAACATCAAGCTTCTGAGATATGAATTAAAAATGCAACATGCTTCAACTTAATTGATCTGTAGAAATATTCAACTTTTGTCTTATTTCTTGTCACGTAAAGATTAGTGTGGTGGTGAAAGCTCAGATTAAAAGAGGACAAAACATTAGGGAGAATAAAGACTTATCAAAGCCCACTCAAAAGAGGACCATAAATCACACTTCAAAAGGGAGCATCACTCTGTGCCTACCAAAGCAGATTCTTGTTGTAGTGAGGATGCTCTAGACGGTGTCCACTGTAATCAGAATAAAAGCACTTGAATTCCACTGAAAACATGGGCACCTTTCCCTTCCTTGAGGGTGTTTAGCAAAAACAACTTGCCATTGTTAAAAAAACAACTGTTTCAAGCAATATAATATCAAACAGCAATTCTTTACAAAAGAACCACATGAAATAAAAAATAAATTCTTTTTGAGGAATCAAAAATGCGATTAATGTAAAATTAAATTAAATTAAATGAGATAAAGATACCAGGAGATCCTCATGCCATGCTGATGCTAAAAAATTTTGAACCCCGGTAGCCAAGTAGTGAGTCGATTTAGTGACAATAACGTGTCAAACACTGTAAAGTGACAATAGCGATCGACTTTAAGGGTGGTCCTTGGGCAAGATATTTTGACTTTCGTTCAAAGAACAGGGAGCCACACAGGGATGCAGGTTCAACTAGCAATGATGCTTTGCTATGAAATAGTTAACTTGTAAATGTATGTCATGGTTTATATGATTCGTATTTCCTTATAAATTGCATTGTATGACAAATTTCCTATGAAAACAAAAAAGATGTTTACTTTTTTTCTCGATAATTGTCCTTTGAAATCTATCGGTAACAGTTGAATACTTCAGGCCACAGCAATTTTATTGCTGTCGATCTCCTACAGCTAAGAAACGACTTTCATTAAAATACTTTCTCGGACAGCTTCACATGGACTATTAGTTTATTAGAAGTAACACATTGAGATCAGCCTTTTTTCTTGTACGTTGAGTAGAGTACGGACTCGGTTTTCTGGCATACCAACATGATAACTGCCAGAGTTGTTCTGCAGCAAGAATTAAAAACAAAGGTTGTGATGCTCTCCTAAATCAGCACCAACTGTAACAGCATGGTGCCCCTCACTTTCTCAATATATTACATTCACACTTCACTTGAATACATCTTTTCTACAAAGAGAACTAATCTATACTCATGACTGCAGCAACTGTAGTCACTAAAGAAAAAATGAGTACATGAAAGATCATTATTTATAACAACAAACAAAACACGACGGATCATACAATGAATGATTGTTAGTAAAGCTGTAAAAGTAGCCCGAGACTCATCTCTTTTTCCGCTGGCTACGAGTAAAGTGTAAAGTATAAGGCAAAAGGACCATAATCGACATTAATTAAATACCTGGAAAAACATGTCACAGTGGTGTTAAGTCACAACACTCAGCCAACAATGCTCTCGCGACACAAACACACCATACAGCTCAGGGTGGGGGGTGGCTTCATGCTAGCTGACAAACATCCTCCGGCAAAACCTCTAGCACATTGTCAGGAGATTTTTTGGGTTTGTTTTGTTCTTTATGCAAATCTCCTGGCACAATCATGATGTCAGGGCGACTTTTCTTTTTTCTTTATACAAATCTCCTAGCACAATTTCAGGGCGATTTTCAAGCAAATTTATTTGTACAAATCTTCTAGAACAAGTTCAGAGCAACTTTTTTTATTTCAAAAAAATTTTTAAGCAACTATTCTAGCACAAAGTCATAGAGTTACTTTTCTTCCTTTTGCTTGCTATGCAAATTTTCTATTATTATGTCATGGTGACTTTCTTCGTTCAGTTTCCAAAGACTCCACCTACAGACCAGAGAAAACAACCATAAAAAAATAAATATGCTCTATTTAAGTTCACTGGCCCTGAGAATATATCACTTTAAACTGTAACTTTTTCCAGTACAGCTAAGTCAAAAATATATTGTGTCTTCATCTCACTACAAATAAAAATGTAGCGGTCAAGTTTTGGAAACAATTAATTACTAAACTAAAAATACTAACATGTCAGATTCAAGAAACGAACATTCCATATCAGATCATTTTTTGAAAACAGTCAATTTGGCAATCAAAATCGCACTAAAGCTATACTTAGTATATTTATAAATTAAAAAATGAAATCGTTAATAATGGGCTCCTAATCCTACAGACATCGAGGCAGCAAACGTCATGGTATGACAATATAAAGATATCGCAGGGTCCCACAACTGTTTCTTTCCTCACAATGGTCACAAAGGAGTGAGGTATTCTTTCTGCCAAGAAATCCTGTAGACTTTCTATTTAACAGCTGGTTTTTCAACATCTGCATAAGCAAACATATGATACCGAGTGGAACTACAACACAGACCTTGTGCTGACAACAAATTCTCAGTACGATGCATGAATGCTGAAAAGATACTCGGATAAAAAAAATCATTGGCCGACAGTGTAACGTGTAATGCCAGTCGGATGCAGAGTTACCCACAACAAAGCACATGCACACAACTTATTTTTGGCTCAGGGATGAATGGAAATGAATTAAATAGGTTGAACTCAATTTACATGCTAAACCGACTTGTCAGCAGCTATAAGTTTAATGGTTTAAGAAAACGAGTAGGGAATTAATTAAATCAGCAATGTAGCAAAATGTTAAGCAAACCAGACAAGCTTTATCAGCTCGAAAACAAAACCCATGACATTCTGCAAACGCATGACAATAATACAGGGGTAGAGAGCAGAAACCACAGACGATGGACATAACAGGTGGCAAGAAACAATTGAATTGCTCGCTGCTTACTTGAACCACAGCATGATGCTTGCGTGAGGAGGAAATTACAGAATGTCATGTAGCTAACTTGTTATGTCATGTAGTTCACTAATTTTGCCAACTAGTGAACAACATATGAGCCAAGCAAACGCCCATCAGCATTTATGACTTTAAAATGTGGTTTTTACTGCAATTACAAAAGAGAATTTAAAGGCTAGGTTGTTTCACAAAGCTGACGTCTTTGTACAACTCAATGTTGTAGAATTTGTGCCTGATCTTTATCTGATTGTATTTGGTAGAGTTGATGTTGTAAAGAATGGTAGGAGCAAAATGCTACATTATGAATACCACTACAGAAATGTATGTACAATGTCAATATTGTTGGCATTACAGTGGATATTTCTAAACACCAACTTGTACTACACTGTGGACTTGAGAACTGGTGCTTCACTCCTAAAGTGGCAGTGACTACAAATTCAGGCCAAGCTTTGCATCAATCTCCTAGCATCTTAAAACTGTCTGTCAATATGCCCCAAACTGACCAATTTGTGAGAGCCCACAACTGTAAGTCCCCAAAAACTCATAATTCTTAAAAAGGTTGTCCCTTTTTGTAAAGTGTCATCAGTAAATAAAACGAATTCCTAAAAAATAAAAGAGAAACTGGATTTCAGTCAGAGGAATGAAAGAAAAAGCGTACACACATTCTTCTACTTCTTTTTTTTTCTCCTTCTTCTTCGTTTGTGGAATACAAACAGGGCATGGCCTAAATACAAAACTTGACCTGAGAAACACCAAGCATCTACTCTACAACTCTCTTAGCCCATCACACCCTGGAGGCGTTTGGGTATACCTTCACTTCCACAGACTCGGGGATTGTCTCCACCGACCGCGCCATCCCCGACCCGCCTGGACGTCGCAGCTGGAACGCATTGTTGTTGCTTCCCCTGTCGTGGAAGACCACGGCCGTGTGAGATGGCGAGTCCTCACTGGCTGGGCCAGCATTCTCACCATCCGGGCCGTAGAAGTCGGGCCGACGACGGTGCGACATGAAGCGCGGCCGCATCGAGGTCTTTGTCTTCGCCCGTTTGATCTTGAATGTTTTACGGCTTTTGGCATCTTGCCGCTGGAGACGGTGGCCTCTGGGGTCTTCGCCGGCCGCCAGGGCTGTGGCTGCTTCTGATGCCATTCCTGCTGTAGATGTGGGGAAATGACGGGTAGAAACGCGGGGAAGGTCCATTTGGGAGTTTGAGGAAGGGGGGTGGGGGGGGGGGGAGATCATGTAAACCAGGGAAAGATGGTTTGTGCGTGTATTTGTGATGGGTGTGGGTGTGGGGGATAGTTTGGTGGTGGGGAGTGAAAATAGCAGACAGAAACAAAGAAAAGCAAAATGGTGGGGGGGGGGGGGGTTGGAGGGGGGTTTTTTTGTTTGAGGTGGGAGGAAATGCCCAAGGAAACAAGGGAAAGACAATTTATGATGATGAGAGAGCATCAAGGACATAAAGATGGAAAGGTAGTGAATTGACAGATAGGAACATGATGGCAAAACATGGATGGAAATATTAAAAGGTGAGGGGCAAGGGGTGTGAAAAAGTTAGTTTGTATGCTCGTAAAAGTAAAGAGAGTGCACTGACATAATAATAGCTATTTTGTGCTACGAAAAAGCAAGACAGACAGACAATCAATCAACAGGGAGAGCAAAAAAGAAGCAGGCTCTTGCAGGGGCATCCTTCAAGCATCCACTGAGTGAAAATGGCAGATAGAAACAAACAAAAGTAAGACTGTGTAGAAAGGAAAAAAGGAAAGAAAATGACAGACGGAAAAGAGGAGAAAGTTGGTTGAGGGAAGAAAAATACTGGAAAGGGGAGTTAAAAACCCAAGGAAACAGTTGTTTGGGGGCGGGGGGTAGGAGCAAAGGGTGTGTAATTACAAAAATGTCATTGCAACCCTATCAACATTATTCAGATCATTTAGGAGGTGGGCTACTTAAACCCTGCATGTCAGGGCCAAACCAATCTGAGAGGGAAACATTTCTGTAAAAAGACAGAGTTACTTGATCTTAAAAAACCTCCCCACACAGGACTCAAATTCATGTCTCTGTGTGTATAACGGAGAAGCACCTAACGGCTACACCACAGAAACCAGTAAAGGGAAGTAGGGAAAAGGATAGAAACAAAAGAAGAAAAAAAAAAAGAAAGACATGGGTGAGGATGGAAAGATGGAAACAAAGGAAGGACTGCCATTGGAGGGAAAGAGGGATGGTTGATGATAGTCACTTACTCAGCATCATTTTGAAGAAAGATTCACACCATTTTTCATTTTCCACTACTCTTCTAGAAAGATAAATATACTTTCTCACATTTAGAAAGAAACACACCCTCTCTCATTTTGAAAGATACACACCATCCATCATTTTCACAGCTAGATATCATAACAACGCTCATTCTGAAATATACCTACCATCTTTTACTTTGAAAGAAACAACACCATTTCTCATTTTGAAAGATACACATCATTACTCATTTAGAAAGATACACTGAGGGCCTGTACATCGACCTCAGCAAATTACAGAATTAAAAAACAAATTTTAAGAGCTGTGACCTATTCGTACCAGTCACATGGTCATAAAACAATACCATCAGGCATCTCCACTGGAAAAAATATTTGTGAGGCATCGTGGTCAAAATAATGAAATTGAAGAAATCTACATTTTTCTGTCGATTTTTTTGTTTTGGGCTCAATGCCTTTCACATTTATTTTAAAAACACTTTGCTGCATGAATTTTACTGAAAAACATTGATCAAATGCACAAAGACATAAATTTGTAATTTCCAAGGACATCTCAGCTTTGGAAGCCACAAACTTTGGTGGCCACTTTCTCGTTAACATCTCCTCCGACACAAGGCGACTCTTAACTCCTTCAATCACAAATATCTGGACTTCTACTCAAGATAGATGGGTATTTTGCTCATCAAAAGTGAGGAAAATGAACAGACTTTATGATTATACCAATAACTCCATATGCTAAAGATTTCGATGAGCTCCTGATTCAACCGTATCCTGACACATCTAAAGATGACTACCTGGAGTTGGTACACTTTAGATATACAAACAACTAGTAAGCATTAATTCATAAGCATTAATTGTGTCACGACACAGTGGAATAAGACACTCATCAGTTATGGGGCATAAGGAGTTGTTGGTATCATCTTAACTGATTCCGTCCATGATTTTTTCAGGCTCTGGACAGAGTTATTTTACCCTGCTCAGTTTTATTTAATGCATTACTGTGAAGCTCTAAGTCACTCTTATAGGTATTGTCATATACCAAACTGATGGGAATAAATAGAAAAATCTGTTTATATCAATAACAATGACCTATAATCTGTTTGTATTACATTTTCCTTCTGACAAAAACGAATGAGAAAAAAAAATTGCGCAACAGCTCTTCGAAAATTTCGACTTACCGCATTTTCTCAGCTCTACAAGTCCTAATAATCATAGGAATCAACACAACATTGTAGCGATATCACCCTAGCACACATTTATGCAAGAATTTCACAAATTTAGTTGAATATCTTTCTTTGAAGAGCCTTTTTATTATACCAGGCTCCGTGTTGTTTACCCTTAGATCTAGCCTGCATCGCAACAACAAAACAACAATTTTTGCAAGAATTTCGCGGAGTTTCGATCGATATTGGCGCTCAGAGATTGAGGTCAGGTTTGTTTACAAGTTCTACTTCCTTTCGACAACTTAAAAAGTAGGAACTATGTTAAAAAGTGCACCTTTGTTTCGGATTTTGTTGAGCCGCTCACAGCGGCCGAATGGACGCAGCGGAAAAACTCGAGCCGCTGTCAGCGGCCGAATGGACGGAATCAGTTAAAACTGGTTCATTTGCCTTGCTTTTGATGAAAACAATATCCATTTATCTTGGATATACGTCAAGATATTGGCGATTGAAGGAGGTGGGGGTCACCTGGTTTTAGAGGTAAAATAAAAATAAAAAAGTTCGTCTGCAGAGGAGAATACATCTTATGTAAAACAAAAGAAACAAAGATAAAGATAACTTGTGGCGTCTGATATGTCCAATGAGACCCTTTTTTGCCGATGAGAGTTTACTACATTATAAGTTTTACTTCCGCCTGTGGATGTGTACATTAATTCATTCATTAACAGTCACATCAATCGCCGTTTCGAAGAATAGGGTGCTGGGGAAAGTGTATTACACCACATACTTCATCCAGAGATTTTTTAAAATTCAACGGTTATTTTATAGGATGATGAACAAGTCTTTTATCAATACAAATTTAAAAAGGGAAATTCAAAAGAAAAAAACTCCATTCCACCTCTCTAGTGTACTGTAAGTGGAATAGGAGAGTTGCCACAGACCACTGTTAACACTAACTAAAAAAATAGGAACATTCCAATTTTCTTGAAATTCCACAAAATAATCCTGAAAAGTAGTAAGTACCCTACAGCCACTAACTAGTACACTGTCTCACCTCTACCGTTAGCAGTCTCTGTGTCCTCATTCTCGTAAACGACCTCTGCCATTGGGCCATCCACCTCGAGGCTGTTTTGTTTGGACAGGTTGCCACGGAAACGAATGGTGCCTTGTCGTTGGAGGAGTGGTGAGTGGGGAGCAACCATTTCTGAAAAAAATCATTTGGGAAGTCTGGAATTAAATGGATTCTCAAAATTTGGTATGATATGGATGAGAATGGTCAAGAAAAACTAATAAGATAAATTATATTCAATTAACTTTGAAAACACATTGGGACAAATTCGATTTTAAAACAGTGCCGAAAACTTAATTTTCAAAAATGGAATTAAAGGAGAACAAAAATCATGAAGAAAAATTAGATTAAAATAAATCAGATAAAATCATTAAGGCTTCTGAAAAACAAATCTTTACGACACCAGTAGGTTTTTTAAAGCAATTATAAAAAAAACTTACCAATGGTATCTTCGACAACGCTTTTCTTGGAGAACTTCTCCAGGATACAGCTGCCCTGCCTGGCCGTGATGCGTTTGCTGGACCTGGAGCGCTGTAAAGCAGGGCTCTCCTCCCCTGTGCTGACCGCCGAGGGCCGGGGCAGCGTGCCGGTGCTGGAGCTGGACTGGGACAACAGGGTGGCTGGGGACACACACAGAGAACGGGGGTTCGAGACTTGCCTGGCCTCAAATTTGCACACTCAAGATTCTGCAAATAACTTCTTGACAAATGAGTTTTATTTTGTATATGTTTCTTTTTTCTCCCTTTTTCAGTTGCATGCTCCCTGATTCCCATTATTGTGTTGTTAAGCTCAATTCTTAGTTTTAGTAAAGAGTTTTGCATCACTTGCAACACAATAAGGTCATAAGTAAGTGCCGAGGAATAGATTATGTGTTACAAGAGAGTAACATACACAAAAAAAGAAGGAGGAGAGATAAGGACGACAGATGTTTGATAGGAAAGAAGGAGCAAACGACACCAGAGCACCTGCCAACCACCCACGGCCTCAAATTTACACACTTAGATTCCACAAATAATGTCTTGGCAATGAGCTTTATTCTGTCTCTATTTTTGGGGGTTTTTTCAGTTGCATGCTCCTTCTATTACCATTTTTGTAGGGATAAGCTCAATTCTGACACAAAAAATAAATAAAGAAATAAACAAACATGAAGTACCTCCATTACCATTGCGTTACCATCATTGTATAGATGGGCTCAATTCTGACATAATAATATTAATGATAATTGTTTTTTGAGGCACGTTGACACAATATAGGTCATTTAGCCCACGGGCAAATGTAAGGCAGACATACAGAAACAATAGTGGGAAAGAAAAGAAGTGGGCCCAACCTGTGGCACCCTCCAAACATCTGCAATATAAATAATAGCAGTAATAATACTAATGTAAATTTATAGTGTCTGATCCCTTGAACGCTGTAAGCATTGCACAATACAGAATTATTATCTTATACAACTGACAAATCAAAAGACAGAATATCTTCATTGTAAGACCATTTCAAAACACGCACACACACGCAAGTACACACACACACACACACAGGTACACACACACACACACTATACACACTACACACTACACACACACACACAGGTACATACACACATGTACACATGATACACAACACCCAGACACACACACATTTTCACATATACCCAGTACACAAAAAATAAAAACACACACACACACGCAAGTACACACACGCGCAACTCCTATACCCACACACATTTTCACATATATACCCAGCAAACAAAAAACATGTTATTTTATAAAGAAATCAACGACCTATACCTCCATTGGAGCGTTTGATGAGAGAGGCATGGCTGGCTCTGGTTGGTCCAATAATCTCTGCGGCTATCTCCGTGATGCTGGCATGTGGGAGGCGGTCTGGCAGCTGGGTCTGGGAGAAGTCTGAGTGCTCGGTGGCGAATGTCGCAGTGCGGGATCTGTACGCTGCTGAATCCATGGCAGGGGAGATGTGAGGGGTAGAAAAAGAGAGAGAGGGTTAAAGAGGGGGACGGGGGGGGGGGGGGGGGGGGGGAGAGAGAGAGAGAGAGTGTGTGAGAGAGCTATACAGAGAGAGAGCTATACAGAGAGAGAGAAAGAGAGAAAGAGAGAGCTAAATGGAGAGAGAAAGAGTGAGATGCATAGCATGAAAGTTATACAGAGAGAGAGAGACAGAAAGAGAGAGAGAGAGAGAGAGAGAGAGAGAGAGACAGAGAGAGACAGAGAGAGACAGAGAGGGAGATACATAGAGAGAAAGCTATACAGAGAGAGATATATACATAGAGAGAAAACTATACAAAGAGAGAGCTACAGAGAGAGAGAGAGAGAGAGTGCGAGAGACAGAGAGAGCTAAATGGAGAGAGAAAGAATGAGAGAAAGAGAGAAAATGAGAGAGAGAGAGAGAGAGAGAGAGAGAGAGAGAGAGAGAGAGAGAGAGAGAGATACATAAAGAGAAAGCTATACAGAGAGAGAGAGAGAGATACGCGGAGACAAAGCTATACAGAGAGAAAGAGAGATTGAAATACGAAAGATGGAGAGAGTGATATTAGAGAGAGAGGGCCAGAGAAAGAGAAAGGAAGGGAAGGTGGGAGGACAAGTCAGGATAGATGGAGCCATCTCATATCAAAAACTTGAAAACCACCTATGTACCCCAAGTAAATTCAATGAACAGACAAAAACCATGTTCAAATATTTTTTGGGTGTTTCGCCTCATTTTAAAGATAAAACTTGGGCACATTCCTTTACGACTTCAACGTCAAATTACTTTTCAGCGATTGGCGAAAATAGGTCTCTTCTACCGGGGGTTCATCCACTTTGAAGAACTATTAAAAAAATAAGTTCCCTTGTTTAGATTATATGACCAATTTAGCGACATATACCACTTTCAGATTTCCTACCAAAATAGGGTGCAGCCATTGTCGGTTTACCCCCTTTGGAGATAAAAAGAGTTAAATTATAGGGCAGAAAATAATCAACAAAGAACCTCCGGAAGAGTTGGCTAGCTCATCTCGCAGCTGCCTCAGCTCCACGGCCAGGTTGACCAGTATGGCTGAGGCTGACTTGTGGTAGGAGAAGGTGTACCCCTGGAGCTTGTCACGCACCGTCTGCTGAAGGTAGTACTCCTGGGCCGTGTCGCAGTTCACTCGCATCATCTGTGCACAACGGCGAGATGTTAGATGGAAACAAAAAACCTAACCACATATAAATGAATTAAATAATAATTAATTTACATTTTTATAGATCCCAGAAGGGCAATTTGGTTTGCAACGGCAGACAAACATACATACACATTAAAAAAATACATTATTATAAATACATACATACATACATCCATACATAAATACATACACAAAAACATACATAAATATCAAAGCCAAACCACATATCAAACCCTAATCATACATTTAAGCCTATCCACACACCAAAGCCTAGTTAATAAAAACGTTTGTTGTTTTGGTTTTTTTCGAGCCCCCATCTATATATTTAAGATAATTTAGAAGGCCGGCTTTGTCTCTGCTAGTGAGGGACAACCCAGGCTGAGACCGGGATACTTGATAAAAATCATCTCTATACAGGAATCAAACTCAGGTCTTCTATGCAAGACATTAAAGCTTCTACCCTTTACATCACAGATGTCGGTCATTAGAGTCTAACCACACATCAAAGCCTAACAACACAACAAAAAACTAACCATACATCATTTGCCCTCGATATGTCGTTTTAGTTTTAGTAAAGTTTTACAGTGCTCGCAACTGTATAAGGTCATAAGAGCGCCAAGGGTTTGATGTCAACAGAGAAATCCAAACGCTGAATCAGGAATACTCTGCTCACCTCTTTAGCCTCAAAAGCACAAAGTCTGCTTCGACTATCAAGACAACCCGAAAATGGCAGTTCACAAGAAAGTGACAAACATACAAAAGAGGTAGAGGAAAAATGACAATAGTAGGGACGAGGAAAGAAAAAGCAGCAGTTCCCCCTATGTCGTTCCGGCACAGTATGAGCATGACATTGATAAGTCATTCCATTTACAATTCTACTGTGCATAAGAACATGATAATATCCCCCCTTTGGGAATGGCCTAAAGACACTTCAGTTAGTGGCACTGCCCGTGGGGGGGGCACATGATATGTTGACTGACCAAAACTTTACCAAACTGATGGACAGGAAGGTCACCCCAGGATTCACCATGAGCAGACAAACAGAACTAATTTGTAAAGGATGTAATGATAGAGGGGGAGGTACACAAAAGAACATCAACATATAAGTTAACACTGGGCAAAAAGTAAGACAAAAAAACAACTGACCGGGATATTCAAGAAATAGGACATACCAGTGGCATCTTCCAATCATAAACAGAACGAGCAAGGAAGCGTTTAAAACACAATGTGTACACATAAAGTTTCTAGACACAGAAATATCAACACTGTATCAGCATACTGAGTGGGTATCCCACTCTAGAAGCTTTCCAGCTCACTTGTATACCTTTATGGCTCATTCACATTCGTTTTTGTCTTTTCAGACAGCGCAGTAAAATAAACAAACACTCAACTTCATCAACATCCCCCCCCCCCCCCCAACCTTCTGACCCCTCTGAAAAGAAATAAAAAAATCTACCCCAAAACAATCCAAGGACAACACTCCTATCAGACCACTCCTTTCTCTCCTTTTACCCCTCCAAAATAAAGTAACACACAAACACACACACACACACACACACACACACACACACACACACACACACACAAACAAACAAAACAAAACACTCAAGAACAGCACTCCATCTCCATCCCCTCCAAAACAGAGAAAGAAAAAAAAACACTCAATCCTTCTTTCAGTCAGTACCAAAAAAAATGAACAACTATTCCCCTACATCACCTGAATATTGATTTGAGAGACAATGCAAGTAACAAACGTCGATACACCAATCACAGCATTGACAGAAGTTTGTTTTAGTTTTAGAGAGAGTTTTACAGCACTAGCAACATAAATAGGTTATAACATAAGTGTTGAATATTAGAAGTGTTACAAGAAAGTAACATACAAAGAAAAGAAGATGAAGAGACAAGGACGATAGAAGTTTGATAGGACAGAAAAAGCAAACCACAACACAGCACCCACCAACCATCCGAGCATTGATAGAGGTGACAATCTTTGGAATAAACCACAATAAACACAGATGATGACTATAAAACTGTAACGTAATTGTTTTATGCCCCTATTGAAACAATTTCGATCATTTAAGGAGTAGGCTGTTTAAACTTTACTGTCTTTGTTGACAAGCACAGAATCTATTGATTCTCTGCACCCAAATTAAATGCATATATTCCGGTAATAAGTGAGGGGTTATTTGACCGAAAGTAATTGTTCCTTTCCCACTCTCTTTTCCTTTCCCACTTTCTTCCTGGTAACATGTGTAGGGTTATTGGACAAAAAGTAGGGGCCTTAGTGTTTATTTCCTCCCTTTCTTTCTGGTAACAAGTGAGGGGTCATAGGGTAGAAAGTAAGACTTCTTTTCCCCTTTCCCAGAATAAGAATTAAAGAAAAGAAAGAATTACGTTACTCTCCATTTTCAGCAGTCACGGGATCTACAAATAAAAATAGGAGGCCTATGTCTTCTTATGACAGTCAAACTGGTGTCCTAATTCTAAATGCTCAGGAACAACTTATTTACTCAGTTTTGTTCAAAATTATTTTACTTCCACGAGTAAGATGTGAAAGGGATAGTCAAATAAGAAATGTCAAGATGTGAAGCCATACTGTGAAAAGATTTTCTAAAAACTCAATATAACGCATATTTCTAAATTCTTTTAACGATACATATTCTCAGGCCCTCACTCATGGCATCACTACAATGCCTTGCTGTATTTGCACAACGTTTTATAGCATTTGTAATCAATCATATTTAAACTTTGAGATAAAGAACAGCAAACAGGGACATGACTATGTGGGAACAGATGATGATGTACAAAAACAAACAGCACAAAGGAGAGAAACATGTTGGATGTGCAGGCGGTGCCGTCTAGCTATCTGTGCCTTAAAGTGTATTACATCCAATACTTCATTCAGATATTTTTTTAAGTCAATGGTCATCTTATACGACGATGAACAGACATGTGTATTATATCACATACTTCATCCAAGGAATTTTTAAATTGGCTGGTGATTTATTAGGATGATGAACATATAGCGTATTACGTCACATATTTTATTAACAGAATTTGTTAATTCAATTGTAATTTTTTCCAGGATGAACAAATACTTGTATTACATCACATTTGTTATTCAAAAGTTTGTTGATTCCAAGGTGATTTTTTAAAGATGCTGAACAAATACATGTTTTCCATCACATATCTTATTCAAAGAATTTGTTAATTTAGAGGTGATACTTTTTAAAGACGATGAACAAATAAAAGACATGACATTAAGGACAAACACTAGAGTGCTTGTCTGTAAGACTATCACAATGTGAACTTTTTTAGCCTTTAAAAGTCTATTTCCTTTCTGTCGGGTGAAAATTAAAGAGAAAAAAGTTACAATAATATCTATATAGGCTACCTCTTTCACCACCATTACATTCCTAAGGACCCCATTTGTTACCAAACAAAGGTTTCTACTATAGTTATATGGAGTTGACAGTGGAAGTACACCTTCTATTTCCTTTACTTCCTTTTCTTCCCATTTTGTACTGCCCATGAAAGACCTCACAGATGCTGAATTGTAGGTTTCTCAACCACACGTAGGGACATTGATTTTTCATTACACAAGACCTATAAGTGACCTAAAAGTACAAAATATCTTTTCCTACTACAAAAGAGTGTTCATTGTCGGTAAGTCAGCCATATTAACATTACGCTGTTTTAGAAACTGACTGCACAATGAACTGCTCTGTCAACTTTTCAAAATGATGTACGGCAGAGTCTTACACTAATCAGTCAAAGTCCACTCTTAATCATTATAATATATGCTTTTATGTCACTACCACATGTTCTGAGGTTTAGAAAAAACTATTATGTCCCTATGGTGCACGGAAAAAGCAGGATGAGAAACAGTAGGATGTGCAAGTGGTGCCCCTTGACTGTCTGTGCTCTCCGGTGCCTTACATTAGGGACCTTCAGGGAAACACAATACATGTATCATACTGTTACTAACAGTTACCTGGTTGGAGACCTACAACAGAATAAACCAAAGCAAAAGGGACCCATTAAATATCAACGAGATGATATCTGATAGAAAAGACAATATCGTCACAATCATAACACTATTGCCATGGTCAGTTGTCATTTTCTTTGTTTTGAGAAAGTTTTGAGAAAGCTTTTCTTTGATAAGTGTTTACCTAAGTCAACTTGATGACAAAAGCAAAAGGGAAAATATTAGTTGTTGGATTTTCAGTACATGAAAGAAAACCCTGCAATATTGAAGACATAAAACAAATCACAAACATTTTACATCACAACAATATGTAAAAACCTAAAAAAAAGATATTTAGGCAGTAATGACACTTTAAAACGAACTAGTTCTGAAACAAAAATGTCTTCTGGAAAGTTTAACTTTCCCTTCAATCGACAAGTCTTTCTCAGTGTAGCAGTTTTCTAATTAAAATAAATGTAAATAGATGTCTATGCTTTCTAAAGACTAGGAGCAATTAATGACTTACGGCACTGATAGAATTATCTCAATGTTTGAGTGTAGTTACAAAGAACAGCTAATTCCGAGAACTTGAAAAGATAGGGACAGGAAAAGACCAGAAAAATAGGTTTCTTGAGAGCATCCAAGCAAAGAAAAAATTAAGAAACCATGATCACCAAAGTCTGTGTAGGATCTGGTACTCGAAGAGGAAGAAGTCTACAGCCCAGTATGAAAACATTAGGTTTCAACCGTTTTTTTACTTATTCCATCAACTTTTCATTCTGATTTTTAAAAATCAACAAAGTCAGAGCATCAAGCTTTACTTTTGAGCTTTCTGCAAATTTGAGGCTTAATGTATTTGCATCCCAGTGCAGGGAGAAAAGAAAAGTTTTCTTACCCTGAACTGTATGAAAGTTTGCAGCAAAATGAACAAAGACGGACGGTGGGTGACCAGAAAATCCAGAAACTTCCACAGGGGAAGGTCCACTGCAACAAACAAAAACATGTGTTAATGACAGGTGAATAGATTATGACAACATGGTAACAACAGGTGAATAAATTATGACAACTTGTTATAAGCATCAGGGCCAATATATAATTATTATGGCACCAAGTCGAGCCATGAGAGATTTGACTGGCTATCTTGTACAGCATTGAGTAAACGGAAACACATAGAAACACATAGACACCAAAACAGTGATTTCATGCTGGGAATAAAAAAACCAGACTGAAACAATGAAGAGAAAGTTAAGAAGTGGGACCTACCAGAGCACCCTCCCATTACCAGCTAGAAAACTTACAAAAGATGAGAAATGATGGAGCAGAGAAAAGTCATCGACTTTCAATAACAAAAATAGATATAAAAGCCACTGACCTTTGCCCTTGGATGCCATGGCCTGAATGGTCTTGGCCACCTGATGCCATTGTGACGACAGCTGTCGGTCAAAGCAAACAGTCAAAATCTCCAGACCTGGGGATGGATTGTATTGATATATTAGTCACAATCATACAAACCCACCAACAGCAACACGAACATTTCATCTTTTCATAAATTTAGTAACTGCTAAATGAGTTTTTGTAACACTAGCATCTTAACTTTGTCAATTTCACAATAAAAAAAATATACAGTTAAGCCTGAAAATTAATACTTCAATATAATCTACCCCATGTGCAAGGAAAGTATGTCTGCATCTACAGATAGGAGAAAACATAATGTCTTATGTTTTAGTATTGTTTGAGTAAGAGTTTTATGGCACTTGAAACACAAAAGAAGGACGAGAGATAAGGATGATAGATGTTTGAAAGGAAAGAGAGAGCAAATTGCGGCTGTTTGTACAGGTGAATGTCTTACACAGGTGGCCCTTAGAGCAGGTTTGACTGTGTTTCTAAAAAGTCTCACAACTAAATTTTATCTTTGAGAAATGCACATTTCTCAGAAAAGAGCACTATATGTGAAAACAACGCGATAAAATCGTAGCTACTCACCAACAAGAGCTGTGTAGTGATGGAGCTCCGATGCGAACTTGCTGCTCTGCTTGTCCGCATGCGATATGCTGCCACATCGACCGTGCTCCCCGGTGGACAGATAGAGCGGCTTCCCCACACTGTTCTGACCGCCCCCGGTCGGAGAACTGGGCGGGTTCAACAGGTTCACGATGATGGTCAGCACAAACACCATGTCCGTGTGACTCATGCGGGGCGTGTCTGGAGAGAGACAGGGACAGTATTTCACCCTCACGACCATACTGATCTCTCCTATAGCTTGTACACTTTCATGCATGACTAATTTTTCTCATAGAAATTCTTTATATATGTATACATATATATACATTTTATTATGTTTTACATACATGCAAATCCATTAACTTTGAAAATGTGATATCTTTATGAATGTAATGCGCATTGAGCATTTTTTTAGAAAATGGAAATGCCCAGCTTAAAAGCTATTTATTATTATTATTACAAAATGTCCACGGTTAAAAAAAGATATAAACAAATTGCTGCTCAATTTTCTCAGGTCATTGCATGTGATCGAAAAGTTTGATGAGCAACAGAATCTAAAACCCCATAAATGAAGATTACTGCGAACTAAGTTTTCGATATGTCTCTATTAATGTTAGCTTAATGCGGATAAAAAAATTTCAGTTGCAACAAACCCACAGATAAGATTCTTCTTCAACACATTTTAAGTGTTTAGATGACTCAGAGTCACAGCCATGAAATTTTACCTCTGCAGTGGCTGCCCACTCGGATACACAGAGGCAGGATAAAGTTGATAAGAAGATTGAGGGATTTCTCATTGGCAGAGAAGGCACTCACTCCACCACAGATTTGCTCAAGAGAGTACTGGTCCTGGAAGGGAAAGAGTAGAGAATTTTAAGAGCACAAAAAAAAACGATGGCTAGGAATACATGCAATTTTACATGCCACCATTAGGGCTCAAAGGGTTAACATTCACCCCTTTGTTGCTGAAACATTTTTATTTATGTTTGTCCAGTGAAGGTAGAAAGTTTATTCAAGAGAGGTTAATTATATAAAGCCATATCATCTTTTCTCCCTTATCTAATAAAATAAAACTACTCATACTAAAGTTACATCTTTTAAACCTTCCTCTATAGGCAAGCAGAAAAAAGATTGCATTGAAAAAGTTTTGGAGAACAAAAGCAAGTACATACATCTACAGAGCAGTGAAGGGCTAAAAAAATATATTAACCACAGAAAGCAAAATTGTCTCAAGTGAGCAAATTGCCAAATACTCCCCATCTCCTATCCCTCAGATCATATTGTCAGCATCTTTCCAAAGTGCCGAAGTCATTTTGTTAGTTTTTTTAATTTAAAGAAAATATCAGCGATATCAAAACAGTGACTTCGGTACCTGTTATTTTTCCATTAAAAACTGGAAAGGAAACAACAGAGCAAAACATTGGCGCTCATATGACCTTATGCAGTTGCGAGCGCCGTAAAACGTTTTATTTTAAAAAAAAGAAGAGCAAAACAAGTGTATTGAAAGATGTCCCGAGACATTTTTATTCAAACAACTGCATGTCTGGGAACCCCCCCCCTATTCAAACAACTGCATGTCTGGGACCCCCCCCCCCCTCACCCTCCCCTTTTTATTTAGGCAATTGTGGAAAAACTCTGACAATTTGAAAAAAAAAAAAAAAAACTCATTCCACATTCAGCTTCCCATAAAATCTGTATAGTACTCACCCCTAGGGCCTGCATTTGCATAGCCACCAGCTTGACCACCGCCGACACAAAAAGGGGTGTGGCGTCAGTCTGTAGGGAGCCTGGCTCGCTGCGGTGGCTGCCCGCCGGGTTGATCAGGGACTCAGGGAGCAGAGAGCCGGAGCCCGTGCTGGTCAGCAAGATGGTGATCAGGATGTTGACCAGAGTCTGAAATAAAAATCCAATAAGTCAGACCATGGAGGTGAACACATATTTCTCACAAAAGTTATTCTACAGAGGTGAACAAGTATTTCTCACACAAGTTTTCGATAAGAGATAAGATAAGATAAGAAGATACTTTATTGTCCCAGAGGGAAATTAGTCAGTGATTTACATCATTTGCGACACAGTTAGTTCATATAAGTGTCGGAGATTGAAGATGTTACAAGATAGATAGCGACTATAATATGTTTGATAAGAAAGAGTTCAGTAATGTGTGAAAATGAGCATTCAAAAATGTGTAGGTCTATGTGTGTGCATACAATAACAGGCATTTTTATTTTTAAAGAACTTACCTTGAGATGAGGCAGGAGAGCAATGAAGGAGAATTTCTTGAGCGTTTGGTACACACCTAATCAGAGAGACACACAACAATATAATAATATTAAAAGAAAGTCAAAAACACATTTCTTACTATAGGGGAAGAAAAAGACTTATGACTTAAAGCAACACATCTGAAAAAAAGTGTTGGCCCCTTCTTGTAGGGAGCATCAAAAGGGGTGTAAAAATATAAACTCACATGACTTGAACGCTTCCGCAAATAAAATATGCAGCTGAAACCAAAGCTCTATATTCATAAAAAGAGTTCAACAAACCTTTCAGAATATTGGCAGCTGCCTCCCAGTCAAGTTGACGCTGAAATGAAAAATGAGAACACCTAGTTGCACAAAGATCATTCATCCTCCCTTATTTCAATAGCAGAAAGTGAATACCAAAATCAGCAAATCAGTATTCTCAAAATATCTTTCTGCAGAGATAAATATCTCAGAATTAATCATCTTTGGTGAAACTCAAAAAATATGTTTGCACCTAGTCAAATGATACATCAAAATAACCATAAATGAATATAGAACTGGAAAATATTGAAAAGTTTGCAGTTATTTACATACATTCCATAATATTTGTACATTAAGATATTAACATCCGATATTGAAAAAAAAAAAAAATTTTAATCTTGAAAAACGATCACAACCAGAAAAAAACCCACTCGTATCTTATATGGAATTATTCAAAATTGCATTTGGAATAAAGCTATACATGTCTTGAGTGGCACTTTTAGTGTAATTTCATCAAAAAGTAGTGATTTTGGGGAGAAAAAAATATTTTGACAATTTAGATCTAGACCTAGATTTAGCACTCAAAAATATTGCATTGGCAATAATAAGAGTCCAATTGTATCAATATTATAAAAAAAGAGTCCTACATTTCTTTAGTGGGCAAAATAATGATAGAATTTGTTGTGTAAAATTAATAAGACTGGTGTCCGGGCTATAATTTTGGCATCCCGATACAAAGTCGAATAAACTACGAAATCGCGTTTCAAAACTGAATCTAAATTTCCGATTTTCAGTGGAAATGCTTGACCCGGAAGTCAACATTATATTATGACCTTTATTTTAACATGGATATGTGGATTGGAATAGGATCTAACCTAAAATTGGAAATCATTTCTCGAGCCGCCGGGGACGGCTTAGCGTACTGACGGCACATGAGCCGCGCCGCCCCCCACGGCTCGGCGTAGCGAATGAGTTAAACTCAAAGTCATGTATTACAAGAAAATATACACTAACCCTGAGAGCTGACTTTTTGGAGACTTTCGAGAACAACCGATCCAGACGTCGAAGGATGAGGTTCAGAGCTGGTCGGATCAGCTCCTGCGACCAGTCCGTGTTGGGCAAGATTTCCAACATGTACCTGGAATTTTTCAAATGGGCCAAAGAACAAAAAAGTAATTTATTAGAAATTGTCATTCAGCAAGAATATCATCCAACATAAAATAGAAGAGATAAAGACGATAGATGGTTTACACGAAAGAAGGAGCAAACCACACAAGAGCACCCACCAACAACCCACATCCTCTTCTTTGCCAAGTAGTTATTGAACAAACATTACCGTTATATCAGTAAGGATAAAAATATTTCATACAATATGAAACATTGACCCAAAAAGGTCGGGTTGAGAGAGGAAAAAAACAGTACTCCACAGTACAAAAATGGGCCTAAGAATTCATTTGTGGCTATTAAATAAACATTTAACATGCCCATTCTTTGACAGAGACCTTTTCACACAAATGAAACATTTCCTCCTTACTAACATTATGTTGCCATGGTAAATTGTTGTTGTGCGTAGTTAATTGTTGCCGTTAATTGTTGCTGTTGTTGTTATCGTTGTTGTTGCGATCCTAAGAAGAGCGTCTCTTGCCAAGATCACTGCCTCTTTCAGGTAATGTTGTTGTTGTTGTGGTTGTGATTGACGTGATATTTGTTGTTGTAGTTGTTGTTGTGTGTGTGTGTGTGTGTGTGTGTGTGTGTGTGTGTGTGTGTGTGTGTGTGTGTGTGTGTGTGTGTGTGTGTGTGTGAGAGTGTGTGTGTGTGTGTGTGTGTGTGTGTGTGTGTGTGTGTGTGTGTGTGTGTGTGTGTGTGTGTGTGTGTGTGTGTGTGTGTGTGTGTGTGTGTGTGTGTGTGTGTGTGTGTGTGTGTGTGTGTGTGTGTGTGTGTGTGTGGTAGCCTATCTGTTTGGAGCCTCGAAGAGCGTGCTCTTCGCCAGGGCCATCGCCCCTCTTGTTGTTGTTGTCCCTAAAGCTCACCTCTGTAGACCTGTGCAGGCCATGGTGAGAGGGTCATAGGGAGCCAGTTTGAGCAATGTGTGGGCCACTTCAGCCAGTCTCTGAAAAATACACAAGGTGTAATAATTGTAACTGGACATTTTCTATGCCCCCATTGAAACTATTTAGATAATTCAGAAGGCAGGCTGACTTTACCCTTTATTGAAAAAGGAATACAGTATTTCATCGCATACAGGATGCCTGCATGAATAAGATATAGATTTGAGAGACATTTGCATGTTTTATTGTGGTCTAATTTCATATCTAATTGATATGGCACAGGCTGACTTTGAAGCACTGATGATATAGGGTATACAACACACTATAGTGCTGACAAGCCCCTTTATAGAAAAACAGCATAGCAACCAATATTCTTTTGTTTTTTTAACGTCCCAGGACCAAATTCTCTGCTACTATAGAGACCAATTATTTCTCATTTAATTTCTTTATTTATGCATGCATTTGTTTGAGATAATAGTTCAGTTTCCCATTAAACTATAATGCAATTCTTTTCTGCACAGGGAGCACCAGGCGGGGTAGGCCATGGGAAACATGAAAGAGATGTGTGGAAAGGGACATGAGAGAGATGAAGCTCTCTTGGAACGAGCTTGGAAGGATGACCCAGGACTGAGATAAATGGAAGCAGCTTGTATATGGCTCTGCAAGGGATGAAAGGCATAGATGATGATGATGATGATGAATTCCTTTCTCAGTTTCTTTTTTTTTTTTTAAGGGTAGCATTTCCACATTTAAAAATGTACCCTCAAAGCATGTAGACGATTAACTTACACAATCGTACCAAAGACTTTGTCCATACTTCGGATTCATAGGAAGACAACTGTGAGACATAATGTTTACTGACAGTACCAAGGGCCAGAACCTACATTGTGAGCTTTGTAGTCCAACAGTTCTGGGGGTCTGAAGGCCGGGTCTGCCAGGATTTTGCGAAGTTCTTTTAGGCGACCATGACACTTTGTGTAGAACTCGGCAGAGATTGACAGCAGCGAGTCTCTGGGCTTGCGGAAGTCATCTCGGACTTCGAGATCGTCGGGGTCATGTGTGTACGTCTTTCGACGCCCTTCCTCCATATGACGACTGAAAAGGGTAAAAGTAATTCTAAATTGATACAATGGAAATAGAAAATAATTATTATGAGTAATTGTATGGGTTTTACATTCCTTTCAACATTTTAAGGTTCAAATGTAACATCCAGGACAGAGCCAAGTAGGTCAGGCACCTCACCACTGCACATTTCTTATTTAGTGTTTCTATCTTTCTGCAGGGACGTTGAATCCCTCTCAGCCTGGGTTGGCCTTTACAGACAGGGTTAAAGCAGACCTAAATGTCAAATTAGTGTCAATGGGGGAATAAAACTGCTTCTTTCATATATATTATATTTATATTATTTTCTTTATTTTATTTTATTTTTTTAATTATGAAAAAGCCTTTGAATTCAACCTGATCAATTTGCATTCCGGTTTGAAGCAGCCCAACGCCTAAAATATCTAAGTAGCGTCAATGAGGGAATAAAACTGATACTTTTATAAATTTTTTAATTTCCTTTATTAAATTATGAAAAAGCCCATAAATTCAACCTGATCAGTTTGTATTCAGCAAGTCACATTTCCATGCAAAAACAAGACGGAGAGAGAAAAAAACAAACAAAAACAAAACCAAAAGCATTGCTGCAGACCTGGCATGTGAATCCTCACGGTCATCCACGGTGAGAGAGTGGATGCTGTGGTTGTGCATGGGCTTAGAGCCAGTGGTGCTGGTAACTTCCAGGAACCGCTGGGGAAGACTCATACTCCTGAGGACACAAAGACAAAGAAAACTTTTTTGTGAGCTCATCCAACAAGCACATAAACAGAATTAACCCCAAGTGGGAACCCCATTGCCGACACTGTGACTACCATGAGGAGACTGTTGAACATCTTCTCCTTCACTGCCCAAACCTGGCAGTTCTTCGACGCAGGCTCCTACACACACCTACTGACTTACAAAGCCTGCTCTACTCTGGCGTTGACAAGATGACAAGGACATGTGGTTACTTGAAGGAGGCATTGCGCTGCCAATAGCGAAATGCTTGCTGCTAAAGGGATTTGAAAACAACAATAACAACATGTGAGCTCATCGCTGGGACAGAACAAAAGAAAATCAAGAAGGAAAAGCTAATTTGATAATTGCTAATCTGATAATTCCCGACTTTCTCGAAGCATCATCAAAATGGCTTTGCCTCTTTCTGATCAATACATACTGATCCATATATTCCATTATATATCTGTAAAAGTCATTTGTCTCACAGATTCAAATAAAGGCGTTTAAGGCGGTCAGGAGGCCTAATAGCTTACATTATAATCTTGCACAAAATATAACGCAAGTCCAACAACCCAGAGTGTAACCAGTTTTGACATGCAAGTTTCACTTCCCTTCTTGTACGATGTGATCAGTGTCACTCAGGCTGTGACATGAAGCATTTGTCTTCCAAGATATATGAAAAATGTTTTTTGAGAAAAATCCGAGCAGAGAGATAAGCAGCAAACAAACCATGATGACTGATGCCTGTTTCAAATCTGGCACTTGAAGAAGAAGGAGAAGAAGAAGAAAAAGAAGAAGAGAACAAGAACAAGATCAAGAACAAAAACAAGAACAAGATCAAGAACAAAAACGAGAACAAGAATCAATCAACAAACACAAAGGAATAACCACCCACCTGGCAAAAGACTCGCAGCAGGCAACCAATGCTCGCACAGCCACAGCCAGACTGGTGATAGAGGCCACTTCTGCTTTGGCCGCCGTGGAGTTGTCCCGTCGAGTCGTCTCCTTTTTCAGGTGGTCTAGGTAGCGTGGGATCATCATCTCCAGCACAGTCTGTGGGGGAACCATATCCATCCTTAGCACATCATCAGCAATATAACTGTTGGAAGTTATAAGTCCTAATGGACACTACAGTCGAACCCTGTCTTATGGACACTTCGCTACCACAGAATTACAAAGTACTATCAGCTCAGCACCTAGTTTTGAGAAATTTTAGGTTAAAAAATGTTGAGTTTCACAATGCTTCAAGCTTTTTTGGATGCGATTCATTGAATATCTTGATAACAACTCTGAATAATCCTACGATTTCGATAGAGCACATAGAATATTAAATTTTTGACCTCATGGTCTTAGTAACTCAAAACGTCCAAAAATGTTGGATAGAACTTCGTAATTCTCAGGCAGCGACTTGTCCAGAGATAATCACCTGTACAAAGGACCCACTTCCCACTTACCCTGCCTGTCAGGACCAACCTAAGCTGAGAGGGAAACAAGTCTCCCCACAGAATGACGGGATATACTCAATATTAATTCTCCCCAAGGCAGCGTCCAGGGAAAAAGGAGCAGAGGCAGACCGAAGAAGAGTTCGGAGGACATCAAGGAATGGACAGGCCTAGAACTCAAAGACACGCTCAGAAAAGCTGAAGACCGGAAGGAGTGGAGGGAACTGGAGGCCAAATCTTCAAAAGCACCCCCGACAGACATCCAGTCTAAGGGATAAGTGAAGGTGAAGGTGAATTCTCCCCACACAAACAGGAATCAAACTGATGTATCCTATGTGCGACGGTGAAGCACCGAACCACTACCACAAACGCTGGTATATTGTCAGCCCGCTTCCAAGCCATCTTCTAAAGTTTTGAGAAAACAATAGGAAAAGACAGCACCCTAATCAAAATCATGACTAGAATACTCATTTTTTTAAAAATTGAAAACAAGGAGAGAAATAATGAGACAGAACAAAAGAATATTGTCAGATGTTCCTGGATGTTTTTATTCAAATAACAGGTTTTAGCTGAAGATTTCAGTTAGAGAGTACTAAAAAAATGCTCAATGCACTGTACAACGATACAAAGAACATGTGCATCATACGGTTCCAAAAGAGACCTTTTCTCAAATCCACAGTGATAGTTGCAAAGTGACCAATATTGAAAATGGATGGAAGAAGTTTATCAGCAAACTCCCCATCCCCCCCCCTCAAACTCTTCGTGTCACAAGCCCCAAGAACAGTAGCTTTTCAATGTCAGGAGCACAAAGAACAAAACCTACTAAATTAGTACACAGAAAAACATTTCAGGAAATTTTTTATTTTGACAGATTTTTATAAAAAATACTTTGCCGCCACATCTCGCCGATCGGCGATGTTTACCACTCAGTTTCTTTGGATTTTCCCCAAAATGCCTTTGTCTTTGATGGCAAGGGTTTTTACTATAATAGCCATGAGAGGGCAAGGGCTTTTACTATATGAGCCTTGAGATGGCAAGGGTTTTTACTATATGAGCCTTGAGATGGCAAGGGTTTTTACTATATGAGCCTTGTGATGGCAAGGGTTTTTACTATATGAGCCTTGAGAGGGAAAGGGATTTTACTATATGAGCCTTGTGATGGCAAGGGTTTTTACTATATGAGCCTTGAGATGGCAAGGGTTTTTACTATATGAGCCTTGTGATGGCAAAGTCTTTAAAGTCTCCCCATTCTGCTACACGTACCAGCATTTGTCCAGAGCGAGGAGAGTCAGGTGAATAAGCGATGACTGTGACACACATACTGACCACGTCCATCATGTTGAAGGCATCCATATCATTCTCATAGCAAAAGTCCTGCATAAAATGTGGAGGAATACACAAATGAAAGTCTAAACTCTTACTCAAATTCAAATCTCCTAATTTCAAAGCAAGCACACACACGATCACACACACAGACACACACTCACACTCACACTCACACACACACACACACACACACAAACACACACAATAAAAGCACCCATAAATACAAGCACAAGCGTGAATACACACTCACACATAAATGCAAACACCACCCAACACACAAAAACACAGATATATGTGCATAAACACATACACAAACACACACTCACACACACACAAACGCACAACAAAAAACAACAACCACACAAACACACATCAACCACAACCACACAAACACACACAAACAAATCACCCAATAAAACTACTATGGCACCCTTTAGTCTCAGGAGACTACAGATCTGCGCCGTAGGAGATTTTTCGAGAGCAGCGCTTGCTGTGGCTGAACAGGCCCACACAGGAATGACAGTCCCTGTTGCAGTGGCTGCACTTGTAACCAATAAAATACACAGAAAACAAACAAGAACCACTCATAGGACTGACCAAAGCTTTCAGTGGCTTCTCCCCAGTGACCAGGTCCAGCACAGACAGGTGGTCAGGGCAGTCTCTCTCCAGGGCCAGCAACAACTTAAACAGACTCTCTGGCTGCACACACACACATACACACAGA